ACAGAGTGATGGACGACAAAAGCAAAACTAAACTACAAGGCTACATGTACAAAACGAAGGCAGCTTGTACATGTACATGTATAAATGGACAGACACGACCTAGGAAAAACTGTCCCATGCACTGTACATGTACATGTAGGGGTCTACATGTAGTTCCGCATTTCATTGCCATTTTTAAATAATTTTTCATATTGTAGCCTACTGTGTTCAACTCCCGCTTTGTTAAAAAAAAATTAGTTGACTACAGTTTATGCCTATTAATACATTGTATACTTTACCTGTTTATAAAATAAAGTAATATTAGACTGACATCATATTGTGTTGACCTATGAGTAGGCCTACATTATTGCACCATTCAATTTCTACATGTAATAGTCAATTTTAATGACATTCCAATAACATTATTCTAATGGGTGACTGGGTGTGTACGAGTGTTTACTTTTCTAAAAAATTCATGCTTGACTAATGTTTGCGTAACTATCAATCATGATGACATTTACTCTACACTTGTGTTTGTACCGGTACATGTATGATATTTCAGTATGTAGGCCTATTAATGTGTACCATGTACATGTACCTGTGCTGGGTGTAAATATGACAATATTTTTTTTTTAATGACGACACTTTGATCAATAGTGACGCACAGGTTACAATTTATGACACAGAACTTTGCATTTGCACATTATAAAGTTGAAGAGAGTATTCTAAAATTCATGGTGAGTATTAAAGTGTCATGACATTTCTTAAAACAATATTGCCACGATTTTTGCTTTTTGACCAATTATATAGTTTAAGTTCCTAGTAGACCATGTAAACATTAGAAAATATAATTGAATAAATACATATGACCAAAAAGTGACTGACACAAGGCAATAAAATAAGCTTGTAGATCAGTACTTAATTCAGCATAGAACATTATTATTAGCATGGAAAAGTGTACCTGACTGACAATGGCATTAAGCAAATGCCTTTGATGAAGTACCCATGGATGAAGATTTCATGACACCAAACAGAATTTCAAACTCATAAATGGTTGCATGATATTTATGGGCCAGTCCAATTTATCATTTTGTGTCATACATCAGATGTAGGCATTAACCAGTATCATTCAAGTAATAATATTAAACATCAATATACTTGTGCTCATTGTGCTGTATAAAGTATCTACTATTATTTCCTTGACATGTTTCTGGTTCAAACTATAGCAGGGCTGTCAACTTTCACATGTATATTTCCAAGAAATTTTGCTTTGTACGTTACTGAATATACATTGTATATGTTGCAGTCAGTATTACATACAAAGCAAAGTATCTTGGCATTACACAAACAAATATAAGCTAGGCAGTAACCACAGACATGCATGTAGAGTTACACTTCATACATGTATGTAAAACATGCATTTCCATAAAAACACCAACAACGACTGCCCTGTCTATGCCTTCTGCACATCCATCAACAACCCAAACTTCTCTCTGAAAACTTACAGTATCAGAGATCAGTTTAGGGTATGAAATGACGACCTTTTGACTTGCAGTGAAATACTCTTGAACTAAGGATTCTTTCTGTGGTTCAAATGACACCCACACAAAACGAAAAATGCATATTTCTTTTGTTGATGTCTCGCCCACAGACGGTTACAGTAATTGAGTAAACTAGATGAGTAAAGAGAAAGATTTGTGTTGTATTCTGACTTCAGAATGTACATGTACATGTACATGGTCATCTTTAATAACCTGGCACTTAAACTGTAAAGCGCTTTGAGAGGGCCTGCGGTCCTGAAAAGTGCTATATAAGAATGAACTATTATTATCATTATTATTAAACTTTAGAATTGAAGGAATGTCATGCTCGATTCATTGTGAATTATTAACTTTATCAGTTATTATAAGATGATGAAGCAGATCCTCATCAAATGATTGGTTGAGAGCGTACATGAACATGTGACCTCACCTGGCACTTATTTTGCCTAACACGTAATTTAATTAATGACCGATCATTAGTAAAAACTTACAGTATGACTGGTCATTAGTAAAATCATGTTATAAACATCATTTTATAAAACAAATAAAACATCATCTTAAAAAACAAATAATACACAACATTTTGTTTGGGCCCTCGGTACCTTCAAAACAGTGTTGCTATGTTGGGCAAGTGTCCCAGACTCTTGTGAAAACTTGAAAAACTTAAAATCTGAATACATTATAAAAGTGGTGTACTGTATGTTCTGCTTTTGTAATGATTTACTATTTTCATACATACAGTACTGAAGCAGAACAAGTTGATGGGAAAGCTCCTTTATAGTTTGAAATAAAACTAAAAATGTTTTGTGACCAGAAAATATTTGTTTTGACTGTAAAAGCTGTACAGCATACTACAACATGTGCAAAGCTTATCACTGTTTCATATCATATCACAGTTATCTCCTCCCCCACTTGGAGTATGAGAGTTATGCTGTAATAACCCTCTAGAGTCTCATGGACCCATTCACATACAGCAAATTAACTTGTGGTCCATCAGAAAATGTTTGATTTGAATCTGTAGAGCTGTACAGTATGCATGTTCAAAGTAAAACCGAAAACGTGTTTCAAAGCCTCCATGTATCAATAATCTCCTCTCCCACTTGAGTATGAGCGGTATGCTGTAACGATCCTCTAGTCTAGAGTCCCATGGACCCGTTCACATATAGCAAATTAACTTGTGAAATGTGAACACGGGCCTATTTGACATCTACAATGTTATACTAAAGATTGAAATCTACAGTAAACCCCTGCTCAACTATTAGAAAAATATTTCTTTGAAGCCCTCAACATTTGCCTCCAATATTAAAAATGTGTTTATACTCCAAACAGAAGGTTATACAGTGTACAATGTAAGTCATGTTGTTTAGCTTCTCCGAATCAATGTGAATAGGGTTTTGTGCCATCAATCCTTTCCCATGTGAAGGTCATAATGATGTCAGGCAGACAGCGTGAAATGTGATCCTTAATGCTCCCATAACATTCAACTTCAATCTAATATGACTGGTAGCAAGGTACAGTGTGGGTATACCCATACTTTGGTCTACTGCATGTAAATTGGAAGTACAGTACACGATCAAGTTCATTTTTTAATTGTGTATGTTCTATTATAACCATTAACAGTTGCTGTAGACAAACATTATAAACCTGAAAGTAGTGCTTAAATTGATGCTACCAAAGTAATAATCTATGTAATATGACTTGTATGTATAGTATGGTTCAATGTTTGTGTACCCAGACATTTTTACAGCTTACATGTACATGTACATGTACTGTTTGTTTCCAGTACACTGTAGCAGCAATTTATAATTGAATTTGAATGTCTATCACGGGCGGATATAATGCTCCAAAAACATATGCACACTTGAACATGTTCATTGTATGCATCGCCCTTGATAAAAAAAAATATAAATAATTTTCCAGTTTTCTTTCAACTTGTGATTAATACAGGTATGCTTGACAATATAATACACAATTCTAATATTCACCTGTATGTAATAAGTCAAGGACTACCAATTACTGACAAAATTTGCTCTTTGAATAAAAAAAAATATAGATCAAAATTGTTTTGGAACTTTTGATAAATGAGATAACCTATACTTTAAAAAAAATAAACACTACATCATCAAAATACATACTTTTTAAATATTCATTAATTTTATCCACCGATACCTTGGAAATTAACGCAAAATGTACTTTATGAGTGAGATACCAGCAAAGTTCTCCAAAACATGTCCATCAAAAAAAAAATCAAATTAAATGCAATCATTGGATTTCTAATCTCAATGAGATTTTCCAATCATCTCAAGATAAAGTTGAGTTCTGGTCATGCGATTGCATTGTGAAAGAAAAGATGTGGAATCAATCAGAAAAAGTTGATCAATTGTAGCATGTACATGTATTTGGTGTGTACTGCAAGCTTCTGGAGTCATGAAAATCATAATAAATTTGGCCTAGTCTTAATTGGTAAAGTTACAAGCATTTACACAGAAAGATGTATAGGGACTACATGAATGGTGTCGGGCATACATGTACTTACCTTGATATCCTTATTTTTCTATGCTCATTACTCAGCCAGTATACATTTTCTACCAAAATTGTGTGGCAAATGACATTTATTTGTAATCTTGAACATTCAGTGTACCGAGTATTAGTTTCTGTGAGAATTCATTTTCTTTTTTTACCAGAACTCAAGTTTATCTTTAATTCTGGAGTGATCACTTGAGCATGTCTGGTTCAAATTAATTTAAATCAAGGGCATCAATCAATATACATATTTCATGCACGGGTACCCTATATGATTGGTGATCACTGGATCTGTCAGCAGTCGTTAGAGTTACAGCTGATTAAACAATCACTGTCCAGACTTGTTAAAATTCACTTGCCGATTACAACTCAATTACTCTTCTCACATCTGGCTTGCAGTGAATTACCAAGGAAAATGATTTGACAGTCAGATGTTTGGTTCAATGCACAGTTTATGGTAGTGTGGAAAACAAAACGATACCCTAGAAAGCATTCTTTCATTTCAAAAGAGGAAAAGATGATGATTGCCCATTGGAATTCTGATGATTTTCTGTCCATCCCCCAGAGTTTTTTTGACAACTATTTAGAGTTATTTGGGGAATTTGGAGGGATTCTCAATCACTCTCAGATCTACATAACTTGCAGGGTTTTCAATTTTTAATTATACATGAACACATGTATACATGTTGTTCCCAAGTTTACTGTTGACACTGATGTTGTTTACATGACAAATGTCCCAGAGCAACTGTTGTTGTTGCAGCAACCAACCTTTTGGTCAAGCTTAACTTTATGTACATGAAGTGTAAGAATAAATGGGTAAAGTAAACCACATGTATTTTCTACTAGAAAGAAAGCAAAATATGAACAGAATTTGTAAATTTTTATTAACATTTGAGAGAAAATTATTTGAGGTAAATATTACAAAAGTGACTTTTGATAACATGAATCTGAACTCACTTGACAAAGTAGATTTGGCCGTCAGCCGTAGAGCCTTCTTGCCATCCAGGAGGTAGATCTGTTAGAAGAGAAAAGGACAAATATTTGAGTTCAACTTTCATATTAAGACTGATCATGGAAAATATGAATAAAAAGGTCTTACATAATTTCATTTTATTATCATATATACATGTACATGTACAGTTTAAGATTTTAATGAAAAGCATTACTGAGCAGTAGAGATGCTAAGTCCACTGGAGTGGACTAAAACTGCAAGAGTGCACCAGCATGGCAGAAGATAGAGTGAAAGGGAGAGATGTTGCAATCAACCTCCGAACCGGGAGAAGATACATGTACTTAATGTACATGTACATGTAGATACCCGTAGATACAGTACATGTAAATAAGAGAAGTACCGGTATATGTTTTCCCTCTGTGACATTCAACATTATATTATGGATATTTACAATCCTTCAATATGTCAAATGTCTGTCCATTAATAATTGATCACGCTCTTATTCATCTTTCTTCAAATAATATTAAAAGGAAAGCATTCTTCCACACTCTTTTCCTGTTAAACTGATGAATTTATTCAAACTTTAGAGAACATTGAGACAATACAGACTGCAGAGACTATACAGGTACATACATGTAGATACTATGGACTTGTACAAATGTACACAAATGTACACAAATGTACACTGTACTAATACTGGTACTTTATTGATCAATATAAAGGTAAATTTGAAATATTCACTGTTTACTCCTAGTCCTACTGTTTACAGTCTAATATTACTTAACTTCAAATATTACCAGTGTTATTGGAAGACATGCCTTTCTAAACATTCCTTTCTCATACCACAAACATTGTTTGGACACCGGATAAAAAATAAATTGTGCAAGCTGACTGTTGATCACATGACCAAACTATTTTTCAATATTCACCATAAAATATTTGGGGGTAATAGAGGTACAGTACATGTACTATATGTAGGATAAAATTCTTGTCCCAAGTTCTCTATTCATATTGGAGATGTTGTATCTACATGTACATGTACATGTACACTATGTCCAGGGTGACATCTTTAAGTCCTGCATATCTCTTAATATTGATAAAATTAACGGTTTAAGAAATCATGCACTCTTGCCAAAGGTCAGAACCCTGAATTCACACGGGAACAAAAATGCTATAAAACACCTATTGAAAACTTTAAAAGCCGCTTTACAAGGGGCATCTAATGCTACAAATGGCATCTAATGCAGGGAATAATTTTCCTCAAATTTTTTGATTAGCAATTTCAGCTGATGGATAAATATTTCAAATGAAATTCTGTACATTTCTATGGAAGAAAACTGCTACACAAAAGATATTTTGTATAGCAATCATGCAAAAATGCATAGCAAATTGCGATGCGATACCAGGAAAATTATTCCCTGTAATGCAACAAATATGTAGCTATTTAGCAGGAAATCACTTTCTTCAATAAGTAACATCTTCTTCAAACTTTTGATGGACAAAGAAAGTCCTTCCTCTGTTGCCAATCAAAAGGGCATAAAGCTGGATTTATCTTTTTTAGCCTGGGTGTTAAGATGTTTTAAAGGAGTGTTGGTAGAGTTTTAGACAAGATTAGAGACTCCGAGAATGTTAATAGGATTATAAATCTGTACTGCATCTCAGTGCTTAAAACAGGCCCTATTCACATCGACTATCTTATCTTTAATACTCAGTCATCGTTAATATGAGTTCTGTATTGGCAGACGGGTTAATAAGGGTGAGGCAAATCAACAACAAACTCTCCAGTTCTGTCCCTTTAACTAAAAATTATCACCATCTTCTTATGTACAATTTATTACATTGAATAAATTACAAAAATTGTAGATTGAAACTTGGTGTATACATGTACATTTATTCATGTACAAGCTCTCTTTTTTTCTGGAGGCTAAAGTTGGGACTTGGTATTTGGTCCAAAACATGCCATTAAAATGTTTACCGTAAACTGGAGTGTACAGGGATCTTGTCAAATGTTCAACAAGAGTTTAAATAAGAATTTGGGGGTCATTCGGAGGCCATCTACTTTGTAGTAAATATTCCCAATTGGTTCTGATAACGACCCCATAATTCATCTCAGCACTGGCCTCCAATTATTTAAGGTGAAAAGGAATCTCATCCTTGAATTGTGTGAACACAATCCTCTTTACATGTACATCATACAGTGTATGTACATGTTTGTAACTGGGATCCTTTGTTGTACTTTCAACTCAAGCAATGAGTCAGAATCGCTGATGCATTTCCCCATTAAAACTGGCCAGACTTAGGGAGATTACTGAAATTTAGCTACAATCTGCTTAAACAAGTATTAATTCTGTGAGAGAGAACTAGAGAAATAGAGTACCCAAATGCTGACAGAGATCCGCACCTTTAAAATATATACATGTATTTATAAAGTTTGGATGTTTTACTGTACAAACACAATAGCCTGTAGGATCTGTGCATTTCATCGGGTCAAGAGATGCAACAATAGATAAATTACCAAGTCTGCTGATGAAATCATTAGACAACGGATTGGAATCTTCAATTTCTTGATAGAAATGCATCACTATAATAAATCAGGGCTCAATGTTGAAGGGATTGGTTATCTTTGCCTCAGATTCTAAACAAAATCCTATTTAGCTCATGCTGCAATGATAATTATAAACCTTTAGGTCAGTCAGGAATCCCATGACTTTTACAAGCCGAGCGCCTGTCTGATTATCAAGATATTTATGATTGGAAATCAAAATTTAATGTTTAGTTTTCCTAACAGCTTTTATAACACTACAGTCAATTGGGGAAAATGAGTACCAGTATGGTGAAACCAGTCACTCAAAGATTTTTTACTTTTTAGAGGCACTTCATGTCTTCATGATCATTTTAAAGCACAATTTTTTTTAGGGCTTATTATACCATATCACAGACACTGATAACACGTACACATGTAGGGCCATGCATCTCTGATTTTTAAAACTGGAAACATTGTAAAAGATGCAGCGTACAAGATGGGCCCACAATATTTTTTTCCTCAGGACCCCCAAAAATCTTGACATCTACATGTAAACAGGGGCCAGGTGCACACAACCCTTACAAATGTTAATCAGAACCCTCTGTGGAAAAAAAAAGGTAATGTGGAGCCCAATTGTACATACAAGGAAGCTAGAATAGCGGATTATTCCAAGATTAATCAGCTTTCTTCATCCAAAGCCCCAATGTACAATGCATTGTTGCATTTGTAAGCAGCACAAGAAAATGTGTATTGTACATGTAGATCTATCTACATGTACATGTAGGCCTAATACCGCACCCTACAAATGTAGCTTTGAAGGGATTAATAAGCTTGCTTTATAATGTTTTAATGTACGATTCATTGATGCATCAATACCATCAGAACAGCAAATGTGAACTCACAATCTCTGCTATCGTACCCCAAGTACATGTATATAAAAGGAGAATACATTGTGAGCTATGAATTACACAAGCAGAACAAGAAAATATGAACAAACAAAGAGATGAATAACCATCCAAAACCACTATCTCACTATAAGTACGATAAGGAACTTAAACTAAAAACGATTCATTGATACATTAACACAAGAAAATGTGAACTCACCATCTCTGCTCTCGTACCCCGACGCAACCGCTTCTCCCGAAACTGGATGAACCCACGTCGTTATCCCTTTGTCATGTCCTGTGTCATCACTACAAAGAAAATTTAACAAAATAAAATCAGTTTTTATGAAGGGGATCTTGTTCTTGAGATGTTGATTGTATTTTTGTATGAAATATAACGGTACATATATGAAAACTGAAAAGGTGACCAAAGTTTGCGGAGATTTTGAAAATATTAGAAAATGTGATATTTGATGTATGATTTCTCATGTTCTACACTACACAAATTTATTTATTTCACTTTTTACCAAATGGATGGCAAAGTTTTTTACTACAAATTAGTTCAACTAGAAAATTTATCGTCAAAGGATTCCGAAGATATCGCGATCTAAAAATGTGATGTCGGATCGGCGTACGCGCTGCAACTAACAAATCATAAAAACAACAAGACCTTACTTCACGAACAGGGTTTACAGTCGATTCATTAAAAAATGTGACATCATACAATCAGCTGGTACCACTTTTAACTGACATTTTTGAGGATATCTGCTCTCAAATCGAAGTTTTCCAGACCCTTATTGGTAAGTTAGTAATTTTTTTAAATGGAAGCAAATTGACCGCAAAATTTGCTGATCTTTTGTCAATATTTTCACACCTAATTCCAGAGAAAATTCTGTCCATGAGTAATTTTATGTTCCTCTTTACATTGGTGATATCAGATCTTCGAAATATTACCAATATGTTGAGGTAATGAACTTTTTTTTTTCATTTTACTGGTATAATTTTTAGTGTTTAATTTTTGGAGCATTTCTATTTTTAGGATGTTCTGGATCAGTAGAAGCGCTGGTCCGAGAATGAGGATCGTCCTCATAAACAAGGATATCCTCGTAAGCCCGGACAAATTGCATCCTGAAAATTAAGGATTGTCCGCATTTACTCCGACGTTTATTTTCATGGGCGCCCCGTGGGTTTCCGAACCGTGCGCTGATGATGCGAAAAACCGATTCCGCTTAATAAAATAACCCAAGTTCACCGTCTACTTTTATGGGTTGTCCGTCTTCTCTAGAATTAATTGCTCATAACGTGAAAGTCTCTGTACATGTAGGCCTACAATGTACAAAGTCAATGCAAAATGCATCAAGAAAATCATTGCAGAAACTGTTTTCGGAGCGCCAACGCGCGAATCAGAAATAAGAATTGTCTGCTAAAATGCGGACGATCCTTATAACCTGATTTTAGCGGACGCCTCTGTCCTTGTTTACAAAAAACATGCTCGTTTATGCGGACAATTTTTATTCTCGGACCAGCGCCCCTCGGTTGATCGACTGGAAGTTTTGAATATTAAATCTGGGCCGGGCAGAAACCTCTTTTTTAATTTAAGCTAATTTTGGGTAACATCTCACACAAAACTAAATATTTAACAAATTTTCAGACAAGCACCACTTATAATTATACATTTATGACATTAAACTGGAAATATACAAACACCAAAGGCAAAGTAATGGCTAATGCAACAGCACTGCCGATTTCGGCAACAAGTTTTGGGATCCAATAAACATTAGTTTACATGCAATGGCCAATGCACAGATGCATGCCAATTCATTTGAAAAATATAATACGATAAATTGAGCCAACTTACTTTATAAAGAAAACTCGTCCATCAGAAGTGACAGCATATTTCCATGGAGCGGGTAACTCCTCGGTCCTTAATCTTTCCGCCATGATATTATCATTACATAAAATATTTCAAAATCATAAAACAATCCGATCAAATTACTCATCACAGGAGAGGACCTTCCCACTCTAGACTTTGACTTTGTACACAAACTCCAACATCTTCCGCGAGTCGAGTATTTAGGTTGAAATAACCGATCAAAATTATTGAGGAAGATTGAGCTCAACCCTTTCTGTGTACGGGTACGCGATATGACAATAAAATAACTTCTAAGTTCAGTTTCATTTCCAGGACAAGTGTTTTTGTTTGTCTCCCTCTTGTGCTAAAAGATAAAAAAAAAAAGAGCAAAATATTACCAAGTTACACGCTTTTACTTATTTTTTCAAGTTCAAGTTCAATTTTCTTTTTCTTTCTTCCACCATGAATATAATACAATTTAACAAATTTATAACATGTGACAGAGCATGTAACAGAAACAATTATAAGGAACAAGTTCATAATGCATCTTAGTGAAATAGAAAGAGCTTGTAAAAGTCAGGTCCCTCAAAACAATATCATATTTAAAATAAACAGCCTTGTTATATAATAAAGAAGAAAATTGATACAAAAAAATGTTCGTCAAAAGCACTTGAGTTCTTAAACAAATAACTATAAATAACTGAATCATAAAAAAGGGTGGGGGAAAAGAAACTATGTACAAAAGGAGTCGATAAGAGTGGAAAGAGGGGTTGGAGATAGATCGAGGGAGAGAGGGAGAGAGGGAGAGAGAGAGAGAGAGCGAGAGAGAGAGCTAGAAAGAAGGAGAAAGAAAAAAAAAATTCACTGGAAGTGTGTCTTTCTTCTTTCTCCTCTCTGAAGTTTTCAGAAAAAAGAAAAGAAAAAAGAAAAGAAAAAGGGATAAAATGAGAAAAGCTGGCTACAGGCGAGAAAGGGAAAGAAATTGAGAAGAAAAAATATAAGTTGGCAATTGCTATACATAGTAAATTAACGGAGGAATGGATCATGTTGAAATACAATTAAATCATGGCAACATTACTAAATGTTAAGTTTAAAGTGAAAAGGAATTTCCTTTCGTCTTTATTTTCATTTATATTGCCATTCATATTTTCATGTATCTTAGTTCTTATGAGGTATAAGGCTACTTTAAAACTTGATATTTCATCCTTTGCTAATTATATAATATGAAGTTGTCCTTATTAAGAAATATTAGTCAACTGCTAAATTATTTTTTATTTCATAGTCACTGAAAGCCAATTTTTTTCATTTATTTTAATCACAGTGTCTTTAACTAGATTTTCTTATGAAGCCAATTATTCGAAATATTCCATTCTCCTGACAAAAATGAAAATATCGAGAGAGGTAATGAACTATAATTATAATTGAACACTCTATTCTTAGTTCAAATGTAGACCATATAGGTGTATGATAGAATTATAACTTGATATTGATATTAACAGGATGTTTGATAAACACTCCTACCAGAATTTTGTCTCATTCATGGCCATTTATTTCATTCAAGGACCCCCCCCCCCCCCCCCCGCATCTCTTCTTCTTTTTCCTTTTTCCTCCTCTCTTCTTCTTCTTGCAGCACACACTATCTTTAAAATCACCATCATCAACACTGAAATCATCATCACAACCATCATCATCACCACAATTACCATCATCATCATCATCACCACAATTACCATCATCATCATCATCATCATCATCACAATTACCATCATCATCATCATCATCACCACAATTACCATCATCATCATCATCATCACCACAATTACCATCATCATCATCATCACCACAATTACCATCACAACCATCATCATCATCACAATTACCATCATCATCATCATCACCACAATTACCATCATCCCCATCATCATCACCACAATTACCATCATCATCATCATCATCACCACAATTACCATCATCATCATCATCATCATCATCACCACAATTACCATCATCATCATCATCATCAACACTGACATCATTATCATCATCATTATTTTTATCATCATCATCATCACAATCATCGTCATCCCTTACCCTCTAACCACCACCAATCATGTAATTGATGATGACTATGAGGTTGATTCTGATCATAATCAACCTCATAGTCATTATCAATTATCATCATATTATTCTTTGTCACTGAAAAAAAATGAAATAAAATTATAGTCTAATATATACAGATTCTTTTTTTAATCTTTAATATCTACAATCATTTACAGGTGAAATACATTATATACAGGGTACATGATTTACAATGTTATATCAAAATTAATGGCTTTTAAACTAAACATTCTTGTCATCTTCTTAGTAGAGTTTTGTGTGATCAATGATTTGCTTGAAGCAATTACATGTTATGGACCCAAGCTACTTGACATTATGGATAACTCTGACTCAGCAGAAAACCAAGGGTAAGTTAGCACAGAGAGATGAATTGTGAATTTTAGCATCAAGTACTTCTTTAAAAGCAGCCATCGTAAGATTTAAAAAAAAATATGAATGATTAAAACAGTTATTAAAAAGACGTAAGATTGGCCAAAACATGAAATTGATGGCTTATTTAGAGGTTCTGTGTGTAACCTTTGAAACGTACTCATTATCTGATACAATATATTGCCCCTGGCGAAAGCTTAACTTGATGCCAATTTTGTATACATGTACCTCTATAAAAAAGGATAAATAACTAGATGGAAATACAACTGCGCGCAGTCGAAAATGATGCCTTCCCCATAGAGCGATTTTACAAACCAAAACAGAACACTTTTCCAAATTTAAGTTTGATTGTGATCCATTGGCAGGTTCTCAGAATATCGTGATTACAAGCTATTTTTCAAATACATGTATGACCCTTTGATCTTTGACCTGATGACCCTAAAATCTAATCAGTTCATTAGCTTTGCAAGATACATATATGTCCTAAGTTTGATAGTAATCCATCCGTCAGTTCTAATGAGAATGCGTTGACAAGCTATTTTTGTATACATAATGAGCCCCATGACATTTGACCTCATGACCCCCAAATCTAATCAGTTCATTGTCTCTGCAAGATACATTCATGACCCAAGTTTGTCAGGAATCTATCAATTGGTTCTTGAGATAACGTGATCACGAGAACGGGACGTACAGACGTACGGAGGTACGGACAGACAGCCCGAAAACATAATGCCTCTGGCTACTTCGCAATAGTGGCATAAAAAGAAATAACAGACAAATCATAATTTTATTATTAAAAGGTATAGAGTTATAAGCTGGTCAGGCCTCAGATCTGGATTGGGGGCTGAACAAAGAGCTTGACCAAGGTATAGAGGAGAATGTGGGCTAGGACCTGGACTAATATCTGGACTAGGATGCCATCATGACAGGTCTAGCCTTCTCTGCATTTTTAGCTCCGGTACTGGCATACCCTGTGCCTCCCTGCAGTTGAATGAAAAGACAAGAATAAAAATAATTGATAACAAAAGAAGAAAAAAGTTTGAATATGAACTAGAAAATAAGAATAAATATGACTAGAGTGATTAAAAGTAATCTTGAGTTTCCAAACGAACTTTACACTGAACATTGAAAACTGATAATGAATGACATCAGCAACACAAATCCATGAAAACTGAATGTATAACAAATAGATGACAAGGGGAAAATTACCCCCCCCCCCCCTCCCCCCTCCACAGAGATCATATCCTTGTAAAAAAAAATACTCTATACACACACACACACACACAACACACCCAACTAAGGGTACATTTGTGTAGAGGAAATAATCTAGGAAGGGGATTTAGCTGATCACATCCAAAAATCTCTACATTTCTATTTCATCCATATTCAAATGGATTCTAATTAATGTTTTCAAGAAGGGGAGCAACTCATCATCATCATCATCTATACGGGAGTATAGGATATCCTGTAGGTCTACCGGTCAGATCACTTGGTACATTAGTGAAGGTCTATATTAATCAGTGCATGCATGGATGTCAGACTATGCAATAGCAAAGTGTTTGTCTGACCAAAAAGAATCCAAGCTGTGTTTAAATGAGTTGATGCTGGTAGCAGTTACTAGAGACACTGGTAAACTGTTCCAAGACTGGATGACCTGTTTGCTAAAAAAGTTACTCCTGACATTCAATCGACAGCGAATATTCAGCATATGAGTTAATGCCTTTTTGGCTCTTCACAGATAGCAGTCCAATATAGACATTTGGAAAACCCATAGCTACTTGAGAGGTATAGTTACATCCATGGAAGTTGCTTCTGATTGGTCAGTCATTTCATAGAGCCTAAAAGTAGTTCCTCCCATACAGAGGCTGTGCATGGGAAGGAACTATTCAGAGCTCCATAATTTAACCTTTGACCGTGTGTCACATCTATGGGTGTGTTTATCATCTTTTGCCCCTCAGAAACAGCGTCTCTATACACACATATCGAACCCCACTATGTAATTGTTTATCACTGTATTTTGTTTGTATGGCACTTAAAAACTTTGGTGGTAAGCACTATATAAGCACCGTTTTTATCATTATAATTATACGAACATGATTTGCGGGATGTCACATTTATCAACTCGTCACGATTCAAAATAAAGGCCTTGTCTATGCGCAACTGCTTTGTGTTGTTTGACCCGGGAAGCAGAGAGTTGCTCGGAGGTTAAATAGAGCACAGCAATTAACGCGTGCTAATTCTCCAAACTGGAAATTAGCCCGGGAAGGTCCGATATGTATGTGTGTTTCAAAACAGCTTTGCGTTTATCGTCTCTCAGAAACCTGATTCTGGCTCATTCTCACATTCAAAATGCACCTTTTTTGGCGTTTTAATATACTCATATCTAAAGACGCTTAAAAACAGGCTTACGTATATCATCATGCAAATTTGCCTGAAACACGTTTGAAAACACTGATTCTAGGCCAGAAAAGGGATGATAAGTGCACCCTTAATCTCTCAATAAGCTACGGGTAGACCTACCCTCTTGAATTCAATGATGTCTGATTCTTTTAGTTTGACTTCGGTGAAAGGATCTGTCATGTCTTTCTTGATCAGTTTCTTGATGCATTCCAGCGTCACGACCTTACCACTGTGACAAAAAGAAGAAGAGAAATATCACAAATTTCAATACATTGAATAAGGTGATAGTACTGATTATAGCTACACACATATCCATTCCAGAGGGTGCAAAGCACTACCATTACCCAGGTTAGCAAGACTTCCAAACAGTCCTGAAAGCATCTAAGGAATTACTTATTGGTCTCTTGCAAGCACAAAAGAAATTTGAACTGAACAATTGGTTCTAATTTTTAAAAACCCATAAAATGCCCAAACATAATTACATAATTTAGAGCAATATTACAAGAAGCAAAACAATACACAAAGAAACAAATATAACAATTTACAGCATGACACTAATTTTCTTTAAGATGTTACCATGTTAGACAAATTCTAGTATTAAAAATTTCATTTACAAGTACTTTGCTCTTATTGTTCATGCTACAGTAAACTGCTCTGACAAAATTTAATGATATGAGTAAAGTGTGCTTCACATTTATGTATCTTATAGATCAGTGAATATGCATAGGTGTATCTTGGTGCAGGCAGTTATGTTTTTATCCCCTGCCCCACAAAAAGTATTGAAATCCATCTCCAAACAAATTTTTGCAAATTTTTGCAATTTGTTTAGGTGGTTTAGAAAGTCATGATTAGTCTCTTTAATCAAAGGAGGAGATGGAGAAGTGAAGGAGGAGGAGAAGAAGAAAAAGAGGAAGAAGGGGAAGAAGGGGAAGAAAGAGGAAGAAGGAGAAGAAGAAAAAGAAGGGGAAGAAGGGGAAAAGGGAGAAGAAGAAGAAAAAGAAGAAGAAAATAAAGGAGAAGAAGGAGAAGGAGAGGAAGAAGGAGAAGAAAGAGGAAGAAGGAGAAGAAGAAGAAGAAGGAGAAGAAGATGAAGTAGGAGGAGAAGGAGAAGAAGTCTACCTTGGTTTAAGTACAGCACACATCGTTGAGTTCGAGAGCACGTCATGCGTGACTGCACACTTGTAGCGCTCTCGCTTGGCCACGAGTGGCGTCTTGTCATTTTCATCAACCAGAGTGAAGTTGACAGGAATGAGTGATTTCAGCGTGATAGGCTTATTGGTCATAGGGCAGTAGACGGTCTTGTCCTACAGAAAACGAGAAATTAGGGTAATGTCAATAAGCAAGTTTGTAAATAGTTTTGGAACGCATGACCCCAAAATATCCACAGATCTATTACACAATGGAGACGTCCCACTTGTGCATTTTAGAATAATCACTGCAGAAGTGATTGAGATGCTTCATGAATACCTTTCGTTTGCCTCTTGAGAAGAATTCTTCCACCTGTGTATCAGATAAATGTACTGTCGGTGCATAAATTAATACTAATTACATAACTTTTATGAGCACGATAACAGTATTCGTCTCAATGGTTTTACAATTTGGGAACGAATGACCTTTATCTGCCCATGCGCAAATCCTAATTACGAACTCTCTTGTTGCCAACTGACATTGTGATCGTTCACAGTAATCTTCAAGCATTTTAAAGCAACTTCTACAAAAACATGAGTGGATAGAAGGCATGGTTCTGGATTTAATTCAACTTGTAAAAATGCCTAAGTTGCTGAATTACCTACAGTATTTTAGCAACTTTACTGCAGCAGATTTTATTCACAAGACCTACTTAAAGGTCAAATTATTGAGTTTAGAAATATTGAGTATTTAAAGGGGGTGTAGCATGGCAAATACTGGTTAACGCCATCTACGACTTCTTTTGGACAGCTACACATGGGTGAATGGACTTGATTAGCGGTCAGCGCGCGTTAGCGTTCGCTAAACAAACTGAAGTTCTCCTCACGATTGAGTTTCGCGTATGTTGCACGCACATGAAAACTGGGGTTGCGTTGTCCGTAGTCTTATTATACCTGATTGGCCCGAATCGGGCCAAGGGAAAGACACGTAGTCTCGTCATGCTACACCCCCTTTAAATGTAGTGACCCAAATTTATCAAGGTTTTATTCCACTTTTCATGTATTAACATTTTACCTGGTAATCCCATTCAAAAGGGGGTTTTTCATGGGAAGATGATTTTTTTTAAAGTGGAGTAAGAAAGCTATAAACATGGTTTAAGATATACTTCCTTAGGTAATTCTGGCTACTGAGAGAAACCTTATTAAAAAGTAGCTTTTAAAAAAGAATTAGGCAGAAAATCACCCTCTGCCCCCATATATGGTCTTTCCAATGGAGAGAGAGAGAGAGGGAGGGGGGGGGGGTAGGGGCATCTGATATACTCACAGGCTTCTTGACCAGTGTTGGCTTAGCATTTGGCGTGTGTTCTGGAATCCAGAAACTTGGTAGAACCTTATGCTTCCCTCCATCCATGTTGGAAATTGACTTGGTGCCGTTTGACGTTGAGGCCTCGTCTGTCCTCGCTCGCTTTGAGGTGGAGGCTCCGCTCATGAGGCTACTCTCTGTGTTAATCAGGAAGGAAGTATTTAATCAAACTATTACTTACATGTAGGTGATTTCAATCACTTAAAGAGAAGGTCAAGTTCTAGGGAAGAGGTGAAAAATAATTTGTGAGCATTATCATTTTTATTATGCAAGTGTGGAAGAACATCAGATGAAAAATGCTCCCTGAAAAGCATGGCCCTTCAAATGCCTTAATATTCTAAATATGGCATGTAACATCATAAAAATCAGGATATGTTCGTTAAAAATAAGCTGTAAATGCATAAACATGTAAACATACAAATAGCCCATGTTAGGAAATTTGCCTCCCACAGCACTTAAATGGTTAACCATGAGAATGCCTCGGTACACTAGTTGTTATTTTGTTATTATTAGTGTAATAGTGTAATATTATTCAGATTTATTTTTGGGGAATGGGAAGGAGAATAGTTACTGGCCCCCTTAAGAGGGTCATCTTTGTTTCTTTACAGCGCTAAGAGACTTCAGTGGAAAGCGCTTTATAAGCACTGTTTTATTATTATTGTTATTATTATTACTTTACCTGAATCAACAAAGTCCTGGACTCTCTTCAGCTGCTGTGACTTCTTCCCATCTTCCTCCCGTTTCTTGGTGGTGTGGGGGGGGGGGGGGGAAGAAAGAAGGGGAGAAAGCTCAGTTAGATTGACACATGTCAATTGTACCATAAATATTACACATAATCATATAAATCAATTATTTATATATATAAACATAAGAGAGGAAATCAAACTTCATCACAAAGGCAAATTGTGACAGATTTACCACTCTCCATGGAAGTGTAATAAATAAAATCCTGGTACGAACTACAAGTAGGAACATAGTCCAGCTTGGCTAAGCCTAAGGGCAAGATAACAGGTGTACCTTGTAGGTTCATCAAGTATCTATTGTGGAGAATAAATGTGCAATATAAATGTTCATATAGTTTTTTTATTATTATAATTCATTTAGAGAAGGAAACAAAAAGACAATTTCATCAGGTTATCATAATTGCATAATTTGCACTGGGGAGATCAATTGATTAATTAAGCATTCATTTCTTATAAAGACAATTTTGGACCGAAAAAAGAAGAGTTAAACAAATCATTGAATAAGAATTAAAAACAATTTAATGAGAAACTTATGAATCATAATCACTAAAATATGGAAATGGTAAACATTAAACAGAATATAAGCATACAAGATTAATAAATATAAGGGGAAAACAGGCAAGGAGCTACATAAAAATACAGTCAAACCTGCTTTAGTGACCACCTGTTAATAAATTTACAAAGACCACTTTTTTTGTTTCCCTTGAAACTGGTTTCTCATTGTAACATGTACTAAAGGAACCTGTCTACAAAGACCACCTGTCTACAAAAACCACTTTTTGTGTTTCCCTTTGGCGGTCACTATAGACAGGTTTGACGGTACTAAAAATCCTGAGACTTTCTCACCTCTTGTTTCTTGATTTGCTTCTCGTATTCGCTCATCTGATTCTTGATTTCTTTCTTCTTAAGGAGGATGTATTCCAAGATGGCTTCCTTATCATAAAGGTAACCATCTTCTCTGTAAATGAAAATCACATACAATCAGAAAACTTGATTTCTTTCTTTTTAAGGAGGATGTATTCCAAGTTGGCTTCCTTGTCATAAAGGTAACCATCTTCTCTGTAAATGTAATGTAAATGAAAAACACATACGATCTGAATCTGTTTCTTCATTTCTTTGTAAATATAAGACATTCAGTCTCTGAATTGGAAACATCATATATTGGGATACAAAAATCATTATTGTATCCCTCGATTTGGCAATTGTTCTTTGTTTCATAATCTCCTTTAATCCATAATATTTTAGAGCATATTACTGTTGCATATTTGAGGATGCGACACTGATTCAATCAGTTATACTTTTGCTCTTCTATGAATAAAAATATGAATCAAAATGATTTTATTGACTTACGTAATGACGGGGTTGTTGCAGGGCTGTAAGGTGAGACAGCAACAATCAAAATCTTTCTCTGAATCTTTCCCGAGACGAGCTTTATTGGTGCCATAACCCGATTCAGCTGTTATAATGAAAAAAGAAAGCGCACACCACTTTACAGCTATGAAAAATAGAGAGAGCATCGTATTCAATTGTAAAGATCATAAATAGCAAGAGCAACAAATGGTCAAGACACATGATCCTGCGACTATAGACAGAAAATCTGTTTCCTTGGAGGAATTTTCAAACATTTTGTCCCTTGATACTCTTCTTCTTCTTCCATTGCTTACAGTCCTCGTTGTAGAGTACTTGATTGATGTTTTTAATTCTTTCCTATTCTTAATACTTTCTTTTCTTTCCTTTCCTTTCCTTTCCTTTCCTTTCCTTTCCTTTCCTTTCCTTTCCTTTCCTTCTCTTTTCTTTTCTTCTCTTTTCTTCTCTTCTCTTCTCTTCTCTTCTCTTTTTTCTTTTCTTTTTTCTTTTTTTTCTTCATCGCATCACATAATGAATGAATAATCATACTGATCTAGAGGTCTAGATCTATAACATCAATCAGATTTCTCCAAACCAGCTACCCTGTAATTCAAGTACCGGTAAGGAGATCACATCTTCACTTCACTTTCAAGTTTCAGTCTTCTCTTTTGCTACTTATACTAGACTCTAGTATCAGACTAAAATCTACATTCATTCATTCACCAATGCCACAGCAATACACGAAAATAAGCATGTGGGAGTCACTGGGACAATATACAAACTGAAAGATAGAATAAAATCGAAATTTCGGGTGTTCTAATGATAATATTGTATAATTACCGGCATCCTTTTGTCGCTCATGATATGTGTAAACCGTTCCTGCCGTGCAATTTCGCTGATGTCGAGTCATTTTGTTTTAATCTGTCAGTTTCTTTACCACTATTAAATGCACAATAATAAAGCTTGAGCAGGATGAGAGTTCATTGACCTTTGACACGAAAGCGCACGCTGTACACTGAACATGCTGAAAGCTGAATGAGATGTAGAAGTTGCATGCTTGCCGTGTTTTTCATCACATTTCCAATCGAAAATACGACATTCTCTAGTTTAGATGTGTATTTTACAATAATTAATGAGGATTCAAACCGCTTTCCGTCGAGAATGAGTAATTTCGAGTTGTTTGGGATCTTCAAAAAGGCAGCAAAACTCACGAAAGATCCGTGCAATGGATGTCGCACTGTCGTGTCCCAGCGGCACTTCGCTCTCTCTCCCCGGTACCTCGGCCGGCTGAAGAAGGGAGCGATGGAGACGTTGGTGTCGGAGATCGGGCGTTATTCAGAGAGGTGCGTTTATTATTATTAAATAATAGATATCAAAGCCAAAATGTATCCATTTAAAACAATTCCACACGGATAATTATTACTTCGCTCTTGTTGTTGTTCCTGTGTTTTGGTGGGGTTTTTTTCTTTGAAATGTTTATTATTTTCCTTCTCTTTTCACCTGTTTTGGCTTTTGCTTTCTTCAATTTAAATTAATGCAATAAAAGAAGCATTGAAAGCATGAAATATATATATGTTTGTGCTTTAATTAATTGTTGATATTGATGGGAGTGTCACCATTTCAAAGGGTGTTGTTGGAACGAATCTGTCCACAAAAGGAAGATGGAAAAAAGAAAGAAAGACGATTGTTCAATTTAACTAGCAAGAAATAAGAATGGTACTTGTTAGGAATTGCAATAGGGATCCTTCACAAAATCAGTATAGTTCATTATGTGTTTTATTCTTTCTTTCTTTTCATCCTGCAGCCTTGCCGGTGTTCCCTTGGCGTACTGCAATCTCACACTTCTTCAGCAAACTGGCAACATTCTAGATGATCAGCCTTTCATCCATTTTAACGTTTCCTTCAAGGCAGTGATCTTTCAACCTTCCATTGGATCTATCTTGAAAGTAAGTGGCCAGGGACCCATTTCTCAAAGCATTTTTTCAATGACAAATGACAAAAATCAGTGACAATTCTGCTGATAGCCAATCAGGAGCAAGGATTTCAGTAGCTTATAACAAAAACTGTCATTTGTCACTAATGACAAGTTTTGTGAAACGCCCCACTGGGCAGGGTTTCACGAAACTGTCTTAGTACAAGTTCGCCGACATCTCATTGAAACAAGTGTATTAAATTCATCACATGTTTGAATAGGATGTCGGTGAACTTGTACTTATAACGGTTTTCGTGAAACGATGCCCAAGGCTCTTGTAAACTGGTGCATCATCATCATTAATCATCCTTATCATTCTTCTTCATCATTTTGTCTCTTTGAGAACATTACACAGAAGAGAGAGAGAGAGAGATAGAGAAAGAGAGAGGGAGGGAGGGAGGGAGGGAGGGAGGAAAGAAAGAAAGAAAGAAAAAAAAAAGAAAGGAAGAAAGAAAGAAGGAAAAAAATCACTACAGTAATCAATGAATTATGAGCATGGAAATTTGGAAAAAGAAAAATATTATTGAATACAATATTAAATCCCCTCATAAAATTTAATGTAATATTGTGTATCTGATTTATCTTAAGACGAAAGTTGTGTCATGTTTTGTACGTGATTTATCCTTACAGTGTGTGGTGAACGAGCTCAATATGGATCACGTCAGCTGTCTGGTTCACAACTGGTTCAACCTCTCGCTCCCTCTACGGGGTGCTGACGCTGAGGAGAGGTTACCCAAGGGGTCAAAGGTCATGGCAAAGGTCACCAAGATCCAAGCCAAGAATGGAATCCTAGCCATCCAGGGGACTCCCACTGAAGACAGGTAAATATACATGTACAGTGAAACCTGTCTATAAAGACCACCCAAGGGAGACAGGAAAAGGGGCTTTATAGGCAGGTGGTCTTTATATACAGGTGTCTTTAGTACATGTTTCAATGAGATACCATTTTCAAGGGAAACAAAAAATGTGGTCTTTGTAGACAGTAGTGCTTTGTTCAGTAGTGCTTTTGAAGTGATTGCCTCAGGTCTACCATGCCACATTGCATTTCAGGGAAGAATCATACCAGGTACCTACATTACCTACTTCACCTGGGTAGAGTGAGGCAAAAGTAGATTGATGGTTTGATGTAAGCCATGAGTACTGTAGCAAGGATTTGAACCCAGAACCCAGTACCAGATTAAGCCACTAGACCACACCACCTAACACCAGTATGGTAACCAGGCCTTGTAAGAGCTTTATTTCTGAAAGTGGATAAATTAATCAGGCCAAACTTACTATTAAACCAGAAACATCAAATTCACAAGTTATGTGGGCTTAGAAAACCTACATGCCATGAAACAATGGAAACACAACATTATATTTTTTGCAAAGAGTGGAAATTACATGCCATGAAAATCATAGTCTTAATTCTTGAATGGTTCGTTGAAAGAGTTTCATGTCACCAGAGTTTCTGGTTTTTTAGAAGTCCCATTGATTTCTGGAGGCCAAACTGCTCCATTCCGTACAACTCTTATTTTGTGTCAGAATAAGTGAACAACGTCAATGTAGCCATGAAATAACGAAGAGACATTAAAGGTAAAGACCAGTTATGGTCATGCGATTGCATTGTGAAAGAAACGTTGTGAAATCGATCAGAAAAGGTTGATCATCTAGCATCTAGCATCTGCAAGGTTCTGGAATCATCAAAATGATAAGAAATTTGGCCCATTCTTCGTAAATTTACAAGCACTATACACAGAAAGATGTATATGGGACTACCCTATATCTCTCACAGACCATGAGAGAAACAAATTTACCAGATATATGAATTAGTAGGCGGTTTCCCGGCAAATTTTGTATCATCATGTATTAGTCAAAACATATTCTTTCACATGATTGGTAATGAGAGCTTCCATTTCTTTTTTTGAAATTGGGGCGTTTCCAATACTGGTCTTTACCTTTAATTTCATGGTGATACGATTCTTATATTACTTTTGTTTTGCGTTATCAGGTTTTCAGATCTGCCCCTTGTGGACCCACTGAAAGAGGAACTGTCCGATGATGAAAGGGCAGACACGACAGAAATGGAGAGTGAAATCCCCAGGAAGGTCAAACACGACAGCGGCTTTATCAGCGACCCGGAAGAGAGTGTGGGGCTCCCTCTAGAATCAACAAGTGGGAATGATGGAGAGAACGTGGGAAAGGGGAAGAAGAAGAGGGAAGCGGAGGATGAGCAGAAGATGGAAGAAGATGTGACTGAAGGAGAAGGCAGAGAGGTGAAGAAGAAGAAGAAGAAAAAGAAAGACGAGATGATGGAGAAAGAGATGATTGATTCACTAGGAAAGATATCAATAAAGAAGGAGTCAGAATCATCTCCTGATGAAAGCTATAATGATGTTGCCGGAAATGGATTGATTGGTGAACAAACAACAGAGAAAAAGAAGAAAAAGAAAAGGAAATCTACCATCGAAAGTGACTCTCCCATACAAGAAAGCAGCGGCGTGAAGACAGAGGTAGCTTCTGCGGAAAAATTGATTCAGGATGTTAATCGCTCAAGCAAAAAGAAGAAGCATAGAGAGAGGGATTCTGAGGGTTTGGACGTTCACACGGTCAAGGAAGAAGTCGAATCTAGCGGTGAAATTAGAATCAAAGATGAACCGGAATCAGATGAGGAGCGGACGAGCGAAAAGAAGGTGAAAAGGAAGAAGCACAAAAGGGAAGACATCAGCCATCAAGTGTCGGAAACTGATGGTGTTAGTGAAGAACAAAATGGAAAGCAAAAACAATTGAAGAGGAAGCACAGTGATGCCTCGCACCGTGTAAATGGAGGGGGTGATCACAGTGAAAGGACTACTCAAAATGAAGTGTTTGGGACTGAGGAGGATATTGATGTGCCCCAAATAAGAAAAAAAGAAAAAAAGAAGCACATTAAGGAAGAGGTTGTGTAATTTTAATTTTTTTTAATCTTATTATTATTATTATTATTATTTATTTTTATCATTATTTTTTTTTTTTGGGGGGGGGGGGGGGGGGGTGGGGGGGGGGGAGGAAAAGGTTGTATTATTGTACATTGCGTGTCAATGTATGGAGTGACCAAGTTTAAGCTATTTCATCCCTTATGTCACAGATATGTATACATGACGTATGTATGTTAATAAGCAGAGCAGTAAATAAAGTGCCTAAGTTTCAAATAATTAATGTGTGCATCCATGTAAAAAAAACATATGTTCAACTTGGTGGTATCTCTCCTTTTGTGTCCCTCTCTAAATCTCCATATGCCAGTTTTAATGATGTGTACATGTATGTCCATTGCATTTTAGTTATTGTGTGTGCCACTTGTTACCAGGCACAGTGGAAACTCCTTATAACAAGGTCCTTGGGACCATGGAAATAATATTGTGATACAGTTGTTTCAGGAATCTTGTTGTATCCGCGTGAAAAACAAAAGAATATAAAGAGCTGGGACCAGTAATATCACCTTGTTATAACAGATATCTCGGTTTATCAGAGCTCTGTATACATTAATAAAGGGATTACACAAGGTTAAAATTTTAAATATATTCCTCGATATCTGATTTGATGTGGCGCTGTCAAATCAGTAGAATCATAAAGTATACTGAAAGCTTTGATGTCATCAGTAACATATCTACAGGACAAAGTACTTTGGACTTCATTATACTTCATAATGAAATTTGTTGCATACTTCTAGAACAGATTTGCATGGATAGTTAGTTACAGTTAGCTACATAATATCCTCTCTCCTCCTCCCCCCCCCCCCTCCCCCCCCCCCCCCCCTCCCCCCCCCCCCCCCCCCCCCCCCCCCCCCCCCCCCCCCCCCCTCCTCTCCCTCCTCTCTTCTCTCCTCTCCCTCCTATCTCTCCCCCTCCTATCTCTCTCCCCTCCCTCCCCTCCTTTCTCTCCCACTCTCTCCCACTCTCTCTCTCTCTCTCTCTCTCTCTCTGCTGTCATGTTCAGAATGTGTCAGAATCCCTAACCATAATATTTTTCTACAAAAGTAGCTCCTGCAAATAAATCGCAATAATTTACATGTTGTTACATGTATATATTTATGTAAACCCATGGCCAGATTTCAAATAGTACAAATGCAAATAACACCACTATTATCAAAGTATTGTCAGTTTTAATATATCATAATCATTTATTAGCTTATCAAATAAAATGACTTGTACAGGAAGTATAAAGTACAAGAAATCATGTGAAATATGATCATATTACATCGTTTCCTTTGTCCCTACTCCCTTGTGTTTAGTAGAGCAATATACATTTGTATCGATCAGCAGTATGGATTGGCATACAGTCAATTATCCATATACATGTATATAAAATCAGCAAGATGTAATTAAAGTGATTCTCAGAACGATTTCTTACAATGATTGTACAACGCATGCTTTTCCTAAAAGCACTTGCACCAAACCCTAGACCCAATAATAGTGAATACTGGCCCCTCGCCTTGAAGCTAAATTAAACATAAAACCACATTGCGACCATAACCCTGAGCGTATTTTGTCTCTTGACCAAATATCGGATCACCCTTCTACATGTAGCATTGGAATGAAAATGAGGCTATTAAGATAATACATTAAGTGATTGTATTAAGTGACTGTACAAAAAAGCTTTTAATTTTACATACAAGTACATTCATATTATCAAATACATGTATACACACAAAAAATCTTTCATGAAACTGATAACTGATTAGTAATAGATGGATAATGAAGCCTATACGTTTTACAATTTTCTTTCTCCATCAAATGAACAGATAACTCTGAACCCTGGGAGAAAAAGATTCTGATAAACACTTCCCCAAAAATAGAACCTCTTCAACTTCTGTAGAATAATATGAGAATTGTAAAAAAATTCTTTAAAAATAGTAATGAAATCTTTAAGAATACTTTAGGTTTGATCCATCTTGCACTGAATTGAAATACAGGAATTTTTTTTTTTTTTTTTTTTTTTGGGGGGGGGGGGGGGGTAACTGAATATATTGTTGAATTATAATGTTTATGTAGCTCGAGATAAATAACCATACTAGTTACCTTATCACATGTTTAAATTATAATGTCAGACTGGCTGGGAGAATATTAGACAGAAATAACCGTCTGGTATTGGTCAATTCTTTAATAAAACAGACATTTGTTGACATTTCCAGTATAGAGGCGGTCAAAGCCAGATGCATTTTCAATGGAACCGTCGATACCAGAGACTGAAGCTTTCGGTCTAGGAGAATATACACAGGGTACAATACCTCTCGATAATATAGTTATTTATCACATGGTAAAATTTACCCAGAATAACATAATCTGTCATATTTCCTAATTATACAGACTGAAACATCTGCCTTGTTCGAGGAGTTATTATCACTTGAGTTTTGAGGCCTTCCTCCAAAGCAGTAAAATAGGAGAGGGATTCGGTAAAGCAAGAGGAGGTCTCGACGGAACATATTCAAACAAAATAATACTGATTTTTGTTTTGGTCTGAAAAAAAATTATACTGTTTGCCTAGAGAATATGCCTTTGTACATTTCCTCTCTATACAGAATCACATATAGTGGTCAAATTCATAAAGAAAACAATAAATAACAATAACTTCCATTTTCAATGTATTTAGCGCATAATAATTGTACTCCCATTACGAAATAAGATCACATGTTTACTGTTGTTGACCTTAGGAATATACAAACATATATTGTACAATTTTTCTTCCAAAATAACATCATAAAAGATAAGATTATGTTGATCACAATAATACATTATGGTAAATAATCATTTACCATAAACAAATTTTAAGTTATTATGTAATTCGTTAATGCTTTTACGGACATGTACATGCAAATAATCGTATACTGAAGTCTTACACAAGAATAGTTAATAGAGCTCATTGCCATCCACCCGAGGCACTAATAGTGTTTACTCAAATGTTGCAGCAAAAGTGACTGAATAAGTAAAATAAGTTGTACCACTCCAGGGAATAATTTTCCTGGTATCGCATCGCAATTTGCTATGCATTTTTGCATGACTGCTATACAAAATATCTTTTGTGTAGCAGTTTTCTTCCATAGAAATGTACAGAATTTCATTTGAAATATTTATCCATCAGCTGAAATTGCTAATCAAAAAATTTGAGGAAAATTATTCCCTGCACTCATGCTCCAGGGGAGTGTTTCACAAAGACTAATTTTGACTCTAAGTTGGACTGACTATGGCAGGCCGCTCATGCCACTGTTTGCTCTCACCATTATGATCTTTAGATATTTTTTCCTTCAATCAATGATGAATTATCGAAAATTGTAAATTCTGTACATGATTTCTAGGTCCCTCGAGAGACCAATGCCAGTAAATAGTGATAGCAAACAGTGGCATGAACAGCCTGCCATAGTTGAGTCCAACTTAAATTCGATCTTAGTCTTTGTGAAACATCCCCCAGCAAAAATTGCACCGTAGTAACTTTCTACACTAACATAATTCCCAACTTCAACCCCTGACACATGGCTAAACCCAACTTAAAGCCACACTAAACCCAACTTAAAGCCATACTGTACTAAAAGAGCTATCGCAAAATCGCCTCTAGCGCCATCTCAGGTCAGCTGTAGCAGTATGGTCCTGTAACTCGCTGCTTCCCTAGCTACGCTGTTGGTTCTCGCATCAAGTCCTCTGTCTGCGAAGTGTAAATGAGGTATTGATATTGGCTAGTTGACCATGAGACGGCGCTGTTCGATAGACAGTATGCTAGGGCGGGAAGTTGATCAGTTCAGCATCGCTTTAAAACCCCACTACAACCCTAATCCTATACTTTGACGAGATTAAGACCATAGCAATTTTCACTAGAGTAATTGTTTAATACTGAAGCAAATGTCCTAGCAATGTAAAATAAGGCAAAATATCATACAATTGTTTTTACTCAATATCTTACTTTATATTATGGTAGAAAGAATATTCATTAAGTTATAGCTTGGCAAAAAAACAGTTAAGATTTGCATTCAAATTCATGGTGTACACCAATGGTTGGAGATTGGTGAAAAGCATAAAAAAGGGAATGTTACGAGAGATTGAGGCAGATAGTTCAGGCGTTTAATAATGATGTTATTTTTTTATCAAATGCGAAGTGATGCAAGACACAAATCATTAGAAAACATAGCCGCTGAAAATTGCAAATCTCCCCAAATATATGAATCGTACACACCTATTGCATGACATTATGAACATATCACTTCTCTACAGATGCTGTTTTGTTTGGTAATATATTCATGATGACAAAGAAACCTATGTCATTATAAACAAGAAAATGTAATACAGGATACAATTAAAGGTACTATGTCCCTTTTGCAGCCAACCTCAAATTCTGTAGAACTTTGCAGGAATTAAGAATATGTCATGTATGTCCTATCTGTGAAATTTAAACGTTAGCAGTGTCCTCATATTCAAATTATGCAAGGAAACCCGTTTACTTGCTAGACTTCACTGTCAGACACTATTAAGTGACTGACTGGCTTTTTTTACTTCTTTGGCAATAACATACATGAAAAGAGTTGTAAAGGGTACATGAGCATTTGTCTACATCAATAACCCACTTCTTGTGATGGTCAAGATTAAACTGATTGAATATTTGCGCAGCATAAAACATATGACCATTCGGTACAATTGTCTGAAAATCAAGACTATTACTTTTGGGCTCTATAGCCCTAAAGTCGATTTGACAACTAATAGTCATTATTTTCTCACTTGAAGACATTTTCAAGCCCCACCTTTTTTAGGGAAGTTCTAAATTAGTATTATCTTTCAAATGCAGGTGGAATTTAACTTTTTCATTTTTTTGGCTTGCAAATGGGACATAGTACCTTTAACGTACATGTATATCTTTACTGGAAATTCAAGAATATGTGCGATCTCCAATAGCAGGGGACCTCAACTTTAAACCAATTATCTTTCATGAGGCAAATCAGTGTAGATATAAAATTTGTGCGTATTTTTATACTATAATTACTATTTTCTTTTCATGCCAACATTATTCAAAATACATAATTATCAAAGACTTAATACCATTAAGTATAATATCAAAAAATATATACCCGGTAATAATACATGTATAAGATTTGCAAGGTACCAAATCCACTTGAAATTAAATGCTTAAGGCGCACTTGTGTTAATATGAAATCACATAAAAGCGCTTGCACAAGGAACATCATGAATAAGAGAACATGAAAAAGGAAGGGAACAATTACCGGTATGCCAAATGAAACAAGATGTTTTTTAAATTAATTTGAATGGTTCGAATGCTCTGGTATGTCTATACCTCGAGGGAGAGCATTCCTCAGCGAAGGCTCTGCATGAGAAAAGGTTCCCCCCCCCCCACTTTGTACTCGGCTTTCAAAGAATGAGTTTTGAGAGAATGAACATTTAGAGTAGTGAATACTGGCTGTCTATGAGCAAAAAACAGCCCATAAGGGTGTCTCAACGGCAACGAGATCTTACTAACGGACATAAACATTCATGAATCCTTAATAAGGTCTCTTCATTACTGTTACAGAATTTTCAACAAAATCAATTATTTGCTTTACACATAGATTACTTTGGTATCGAGAGCTTACTAACCAAAAGAAACATTAATGAAATCCCTAAAAAGTCCCTTCATTACTGTTACAGAATTTTCAACAAAATCAATTACCGGTATTTGATTTACACACAGATTACTTTAGTTCGAGCTCAAACACAATAATTATATTTACCAACAATCAAACAAATGAACAATGAAACAAACAAATTTTCCGGGCAAGTATCCCGTTTTCGATGCCTAAGAAAATGCTTGTTTGAAAACACAATACAGAAAACTTTCTGATGAAAGCCTGAACTGCATTAACTTGTAGATTTAAACATATAATTACTCCCCTTCTACAACCGTCTAAGTCTCAACAAACACATTCTTAAACAATTTTCAACAGAATTTTAGATCAATGGCAAAGTTCATTCAGCTGACTGATGTGAAATTAAAAGCTGCAAAATTAGAGAATACACATTTGTCCAATAGTATCATCTTTTCCACTGGACGCTGGAAACAAGACAAGTACAAGCAAGATTCAATCGATGGTTTAAAAAGTCTCATTGACCATTAACAGGGGGTGTTTCACAAAGATCCCAAGTCGAACTGAACTCTAAGTTGGACTTAAACATTATGGAGAGCCATTATAAAATATATTCAAAAGCAAAATTCAAGTATTTTAGACTTTTCATAAATTCCACATCAAGAACATGAAATCTTTGTGATGAAAGAAAATATGAATGAATTGAATCAACATTTTATGCCTTGTGAAATAACTTTTACAAAATATTTTCAAAGATGCTAATTGTTAAGTCCAACTTAAGATCTTTGTGAAACGCCCCATGGTTTATAGTATAGCATGGTTTAATACTGATTTGTTACGAGCAAGTTCATGACAAATACGCATGGCTTCTCATGCTGAATGTGCCATCACCAGATAACAGGGCCCCGTTTCATAAAACTTCTCATCAATAACAAGTTACAATAACTGTTACAAGCTACTGAAAGCATAGCATCTAATTGGCTGAGAGCTAATTTGTCGTAGAAATTGTGCACTTGTTATTGATAACAAGTTTTATGAAACAGGGTCCTGGGAACCGTTTCACAAAGCCTTTTTTCAATGACAAATAACGAAAATCAGTGACAAATCTGCTGATGACCAATCAGAGGCAAGGATTTCAGTAGGTTATAACAAAGACTGTCATTTGTCACTGATGACAAGTTTTGTGAAATGGGGTCCTGGTTACTGTTGGAAATTAGACATGGAGCTGTTGCCGCCTGAACAAGAATCAAAGTTTACAGCTCAATAGTTAGTTTGGTACCTACATATTTCTCACAGATAATGTATAATAATATAAATGGAATGGCAGAAGTCACTGGTGCATTCACTGTCCAAATTAACCATCTCCCCCCCCCCCCCCCAAAAAAAAAAAATAAATAAATAAATAAATAAAAAATAAATAAATCAAATGCACTTGCTTTCATAGTATAAAAGTTAAAACAGACATATACATGATGAAAGATATCATTGGAATTTCCATCAAGTTTGAGAGAATTCTACTATAGAAACCAGACAGTTTTTTAAAAACTTTTGCAAGTGGTTCGGATTTGCAAAGTTAATGCCGTGGCAATATAGAATCACAACCGACACAAGATTGAATTCATGCAGTTTAGAAGTTTCTTACTGTGAAAATTCCTGGTTTACTAGTCGCACAATTTCCTGTCATGTCTAGACCACCTTTCTTCTATATTTTCCTCACCTCTTTTTCTCCCTCTCAACCTCTTTCCCCCTCTCTCTCCTTCTGCCTTTTCAAAACATGGAGCTTGCACTCTTCCGTTTTTGCGGTCTTCACTTACTGTACATCACACTATCCTATTTTGAACCTTCACCTTTACACTAAAAAACATACTACTCAATTGTGATGCAACACACATGGTAAACATGCGCATTTAACGTGCATTGCCGCTCTCTACCAAGGAGCAGACATGAGTATGTGCACAGATGTCAAACAGTGACTGGATGGACTTCTCCTCACAGGATAGAGCATGCAATTTACGACAAAAAAAATGTTAATCGGATTCACAGACCAGTGTTCTAAAAAACTACACGTTTGTATAAAACTTACATATATTGGCATTAAATGCTAAACAAAAGTCGGACAATTTCAATTTTCATCATAACAATAATAATGATAATAATAGTAATAACAATAATAGCAGCAGGTTTTTGTGTAGCTCTCATGTCTGTCAAATATTGGCATTAAAAGCTAAACAAAGGTCGGACAATGTCAATTTTCGTTGTAACAATAATAATGATAATAATAGTAATAACAATAATAACAGTGGGTTTTTGTGTAGCTCTCATGTCTGTCAAATATTGGCATTAAAAGCTTAACAAAGGTCGGACAATTTCAATTTTCATCATAACAATAAAATAATAATAAACGATGATAACAGTAGGTTTTTGGAGAGCGCTCATGTCTGTCAGAGTTGAAACTCTTGGCGCTCTACAGTGACTATCCCCGCTTTAGCATCGTGGCTGTCATTATGGCATTGTACAGTCAAACCTGCTTTAGTGACCACCTGTCTACAAAGACCACATCTGTTGTTTCCCTCGGAAATGGTTTCTTATCGAAACATGTACTAAAGGAACCTGTCTACAAAGGCCACTTTTTGTGTTTCCCTTGGGTGGTCGCTATAGACAGGTTTGACTGTATCATTATTATCATGGTTTTCATTGCATTGTCCGAGTCTGATTTGTCACCGCGGTTAATTGCAGATTTCAGGTGACGATGGCTCGTCTCTGGTCAATGGGTTGGGTCGAGGCACTTTCGTCGGTGGTTCCGTGGTTCCTCTGATCGGCGGTCGACGGGAGCATGTCCAGCGGGATCAAGGCCTTGTGCCGGAAATACTCCTTGAACCTCGCGACGGCGTATTCCTGTCAATCAAATCAAAATCAAATTAAAGACGCATAATAATAATGATAATAATTTGTTCTTATATATAGCGCTTTTCAGGATTGCAGGCCCTCTCAAAGCACTTTACAGATATATATTATTACCCTGGTCATCGGATTCAGGCTTGCCTGCACACAATGTACGCACATTCTCCACTGCCTAAGGAAAATTCCAGCCACGTGTCATTTTTACAAGCGCACACTTGGTCATCTAACCACGTAAACTTCAAAAATGTATCAGTTCCGTTAGAAACGGAACGGTTGGCATGTCTGTAAGTATCTCAAATGATTCTGATCATTCTGTATAACTAAGAAAATGGAGATATATGGAATATTTCTGTACAGAGCAAATCATTTGAGGAGGACCTTGAATGATACATCATAGGGTTATCAGATTTTGCTTAAACTAACACTGCTCTATTGTTTTTATATTCCGGCTTTCGTTTGAAAAAACTAAACAAAAACAAACACAAATATTAGCGAGGGCATCTTGCTAAAATAAGAGATTGCATAGTTTTCAGAATACCACTATTATATTTCTTCAAAAACCCACTGCACTAGTTTGGCCAAGAGGGATTAGACCTCCCTGCATGGTCACTGACAGGTGGTTATCTCATCAAATCAGCTCTCAATTAACATAAGAAAAAGGGGATCATGAGGAACCAATGGTCACCGATTAGGCATTGTTTGCCATATAGAGGGCGCAAATGGCTATAAGAAGTGCAGTGGGGCTTTAAAAGGGATAGTAAGACTCACCATGTACCCAAAGGTTGTGTGGGATATTTTAGCTTGAACGATAGACCACAGAGCCCATACAAAATGGCTGACTGGACAGAACCTAGATAAGATAGAGAGGAAATATTAGTTGTTGGGTGTTATTATAATATTTGACAGGAGAAGAATATATCACAGGTGTTATTTGAATATATGACAGAAGAGGGCATTAGGCACTCTATCAATATTTGAAAGAAAAAATTTATCACAGTGTATTTCTATGTTTGACAGAATAAATATATCACGGCGTTAGGTGCTAATCAAATATTCAACTGGTAAAAATATTTCAACATGTTATTTCAATGTTACAGAAACTTTCATCAGTTGGGGATAATGATAACATAACAATTGGTACCCAGAGTCCCTGTTTAGTAATGGCTTAATCCCCTTAATCCATATAGACTCTTTCACCATTCTTGACCAGAAGTTGCTTTCTTGACCACTTTATTCTTATTTTTGTCACTTTAGAAAATTTTTATAGGAACCCCATAACAAGTACACTTAGGTCGAGAGTGGAAAATATTGATATATGTCTTGCCGAAGCATATTAGTGCTATACCAGGTTTTGAACCCACGACCCTTGCATCCACATCGAGGTGTTCAAACCACGCAGCTACCATTTTAGTTTATCCCCATAGAAACCAACCTTTTCACTTCTCGTAGAATAGCTTCTTCTTCGTCTGCCGAGTCCCCATGGCAACCTGGCTGGTACACGCCCATCTCTCGGTTGGCTGCGAGGTACGCCCTGATGAATATCAGCTGCTGCTCTCTGGAGGGGAAGTCCTCCGGCTTGAGGGAGAAGTAGGGCGCGTCCTTGATGCAATAATTCATGGACCATTCAACAAAGTGATTGGCCAAATCAAACTCTCTATAGATACAAAGAGAGAAGTATGTATAGTGTATTCAATAAGCCAGTTCATAGTTGCAGTCTGAGCATGAGCAGAAAAAGGTCATTGCAGACCAAATTGTGAATTACACAGAGACAAGATACTGGATACGTGCTCATGAAAGTTATGTCATCATTATTCATTTACGCACAAGCAGGGCACTCCATGATACACAGGTGGAAGTATTCTTTGAAAAGGGGAAACAAAGGCTATTTACTGTATGTAGCACCCCATCGCTGTAGGAGTGATTATTTCAAAATGTACAAAGTGAGACCTCTTCATGTTTTGAAGATCTGTGGATATTCAGGATCATTTGGGACATGTGCTAACCGTGAACTGGTCTATTCATTTAAAGAGAAGGTTGAGTTCTGGGAAGAGGTGAAAAATAATTTGTGAGCATTACTCATTCTTATTATGCAAGTGTGGAAGAACATCAGTTGAGTCATGTTCCCTGAAAAGCATGGCTCTTCAAATGCCTTCATACAGGTATTCTAAATATGCATGTAACATCATAAAAATCGGGGGCCGGCTTTTTACGCCACGTGTTTGTGTAGTCCCATATACATCTTTCTGTGCAAGTGTTTGTAACTTTACGAAGACTTGGCCACATTTCTTATCATTTTGTGTAGTCCCATATACATCTTTCTGTGCAAGTGTTTGTAACTTTACGAAGACTTGGCCACATTTCTTATCATTTTGATGATTCTAGAACCTTGCAATACACACAAATTCTTATATGCTAGATGATCAACCTTTTCTGGTCGGTTCCACACCGTTTCTTTCACAATGCAATCGCATGACCAGAACTCAACTTCATCTTTAAAGAGAACCAAAACCTTCATACCAAGTTACCTTTATTGTAAAGTTTAAGATATTTGAATAAAATCATTGAAAATTTGAACAAAATCGGGCAAGGAATAAGGAAGTTAAAGCTTTTTTAAATGACCAATAACTAGAGGGCGATATTCAATTTGATGACATCATTTGTGGACAACTCTCCATGCTTTTTGTACATCAAATTTCATGTTTTTCCTTCTTTCTTGTGATTGAGAAAATCAACTCCCCTGAAAGCAAGGTATAGAATACAAAATGATATTCTACTTCATCTGTTATGAAGTCGGATCAAGAACACAAATAAATACGAAGAAAACGAAAGAATTGTGAAATTTGATGTACAAAAGGCATGGAGAGTTGTCCACAAATGATGTCATCAAATTGAATATCGCCCTTTAGTGACTAGTCATTTGAAAAAGCTTTAACTTCCTTATACCTTGCCCGATTTTGTTCAAATTTTCACTGATTTTATTCAAATATCTTACACTTTACAATAAAAGTAACTTAGTATAAAGGTTTTGGTTCCCTTTAAATTCAAATCTTCTATATTATCAATGAATCATAAACATGGAAAATACTTTTCCATGTTTAAATGAATCATGTAGATGTGACCAAAAATCACTATCAAAGTTCTGTTGATGATCAAAAATAATAAAATTCTATTAGCATCCCAAAGTTCATGTATACAGATAAATTTGCTAATGGAAATTACATGTTTGTGACAGAAAAGGTAAAGTATTAGATTAATTAGCAAAACAAACGAGGCATTCCTGGCTACTTGCACTCAGCAATTACATGTCGATTTTCTAGGTACTTGTACCTGGCTTTAATCAAGTTTTTCTTATTTCTTTGTTATTATTTTTTGTCTTCACATTTCGGTGGTCTGAACTGTGCCAGTATGTAAGTAAGTAAGTATAAGAAGAAACACACTTTGAGTGATTAAATTTTGTATTAGGTCATTGGGGCCTGACCAATTTCCAGCCATCGGGCTACACTTTTAAAGCATAATGACTCGGGCCTCATTAGGACATACATTTTATTTTTAAATCCTTTTTGCTACCACAACTAGATATCATCACTACAATACATGGTGATAAATCTCACCTGAAATTATAGCTTGAATACTCATAATCAATGAGGATGAGGTTCTTCTCGTCTGTATTCTCCCCGCTGGTGAGAAGGATGTTTCCTAGGATTTAAAAAAAAAATGAATTAAAAACATGAAAATCATTTTTGAATACTGTTGATATTACATTCAAACATGTCCCTCTTTTGGGTATAGTAATTATTATTCAATTCAATTCAATTCTTTTCAATTCATTTCAATTCAATTTGATTTTATTCATTTATTTTCCATTTCAAAACAATGTAAACACACAGGTTAAATACAGCAATAAAATCACAATGTAAAGTGTTGGGATACCCTTATAGGCAAACTGCTTGTGGGCAGGGTTCCAGTTTTTGCGAAATGAGAGTTAACTATAATACATACATGTAGGATCAGAGTGGCCCGTATTCTGAAGTCAGGTTTAGTTAAACCCAGGTTTAACTTTAAACCCGGGTTTAACTAAGCCAGACTTCAGGTCTAAGTATCATTTCAGTTTCTGAAAGCCAGGTTTAGTTAAACCCAGGTTTAAGTCTAAAACCCAGGTTTAAAGTTAAGCCAAGGTTTAACTACCATGGAGATGTAGTCTGCTTCTACTGCACATGCTCAGTACAGCTCATCCATCTTCAAGGGTAGCTGATATGGCCTTTATAGGCTTTGTTATAGCTGGATTTCGTGCTGCAAATTTAATAATTTCAATTCAAAATATTCGACACAAACAAATCTCTTTCGAAGCAACCATTGAACGTTATGACGTGATTTTTTGTTTTGTTTTACCCTTTGATTTATTGTTAAACTGCTGAAAAAGTCTGAATCGAGGTGGAATTGAGCTTTACAAATAATAAATAATACAAAAATCGGGATTCTACAATTTCTGCATGCCCATGCAGATTAGTCAAAACTTCCAGAACAACATAAAAATGCTCTAAATAAGATTTAGATGACTAAAAGAGAAACTAAAAATGATCAAAAATACCTTCTTGATGCAAAATAACTAGTCCAAAGTCAACATTGCTGAAGCTCATTTGTTTGATTTTTAGTTTTTTGTTAGGACAATGGAATCCTTTTTCGAACCGACATGTCGGGTATCATGATCCCCTTCTCGGTCACCGTGCGCGCATATCATCGATCGTGCGCGCATTCATTTGTACAAGTACACACGGTTTAGAAATATTGCATTGTCCTAACAAAAAACGCTTAAAATTCGACCATATTATATGAGCTTCAATGTTGACTTTGGACTAGTTATTCTGCATCAAGAAGGTATTTGTGATCATTTCTCTTTCAGTCATTTTAATCTTATTAAGGCCTAGATCTAGATCTAAGTTAGATCTAGACCTCTAGTGCATCGTTCGGGGCATCTTAAGGATGTTCTCGATGTTTTGACATCATAATATAAATAGACTAGGCGCGCCTAATCGGTCTAGGTCTAGAGTCTAGACTAGATCTATCATCTAGGGCAGATTCTACCCAAAACTCTACTAGATCTAGGTCTAGAGTTCCGGCTTAATACACTCGTCGGCTCTTAATTATACTAATCCATGATTGTCTTATAAATATAGATTATTCTAATCCAACCTTAGGCCTACAGTTTTATTTTATCTCGCATTTGTTTACATCGTTGGGACGCAATTTGAAAATGTGTATTGCACTCACAGTTTCAAAACTACGTGAGCATAACGTCAAACTAAAGGTATGGGGCTACTATATTTGTTTTCCTCTGCAACAAAGTGATACGTGTTGATTTACTTTGGCAACTTTTTAGTTTCAAGGATTGTCGTACTATACAAATCACAAAATATTATATAAAATATAAAATCTTAAGACTTAGAAAATATTAAGCATAAAGATTCAATAAGCAAATGAAGTATCCAAATTAATGTTCAAACTTGCCGAAGGCATAAAATCGCAAGGCCCACTTTTATCCGCAAGCGATGTGTGTGTCTCTCCAATGTTGGAGTCAATGCAAATCGCTGTTTGTTTGGTATTTAAAAAAAGACAGCGATGACAAACAAATCATCGTCGCCATGATTGTGAAAGGTTTTTTTCTTTCCACAAGAGCTCTCTCCGGTCTCATTATTTGCAATAATTCGTCGTAATGTCTTTTAATGTTGTCTTCTTCTCCTCTGAATATCCAACAAATAGTTAGACCTGACTTAAGCCAGACTTAAACTAGGTGTACCCCAGGTTTAAATATGTGTACAATTTCCACAGAGTTAGACCAGGCTTAAACCTAGGTTTAAGTTAAACCCGACTTCAGAAACGCAAAATTAAACCTAGGTTTAAATCTGAGAGTTAGGCGAGGCTTAGACTAGACTTAAACCTAGGTTTAAAGTTAAACCTGACTTCAGAATACGGGCCAGTATGTTTAACAAAATTATAATTCATTACTAACAATTATAACACATAACATTAAGACATACAGCATTTGCACATATTTTGTAAATGAATGCCAGGCCTTAGAGCTACGCTTATGAGGCAATTCGTTCTGATTATTTTTTCTTCGTAAAGTTACAAGCACTATACACAGAAAGATGTATATGGGACTACCCTATATCTCTCACAGACCATGAGAGAAACAAATTTACCAAATATATGAATTAGTAGGCGGTTTCCCGGCAATTTTCGTCATGTATTAGTCAAAACATATTCTTTCACATGATTGGTAATGAGAGCTTCCATTTCATTTTTTTAAAATTGGGGCGTTTCCAATACTGGTCTTTACCTTTAATAAAGCTGGATATTTCATGACTAACTTAATAGACAGAGTCCCTATAGACTGGTTTACTAATTAACATATTCAAATTTATGGAAATTTCCTTCCTTGGAACCTACTGATGAGTTATTCCCTTAAAGGTAAAGACCAGTATTGGAAACGCCCCCCTCTCAAAAAATGAAATGGAAGCTCTAATTACCAATCATGTGAAAGAATATGTTTTGACTAATACGTAATGATACAAATTTTGCAGAGAAACCGCCTACTAATTGATATATTTGTAAGTATTAACTCTATTTGGACCTGATAGATATCGCGCACGTGTGTACAGTGCTTTTTGATGATTCCAGAACCTTGCAGTACACACCAATACTTATATGCTAGATGATCAACCTTTTCTGATCGATTCCACAACGTTTCTTTCACAATGCAATCACATGACCATAACTGGTCTTTACCTTTAATGAATGGACTACCATACTTGGAATCCAGTCCGCATTCATTACTTGTTTCTATGTCAAGAACAACTTTAAAAGAGTATACATAAAACTTGAATATGTTCGTAAACCTCTCTTTTCAGCGCAGGAGGAGTCACTTGGATCCAAATGGATTCTTTCACCTTTCTTGACCAGAAGTGATTTTCAAACTCAACAATATGGGCATCATCCATCAGTATGTGTCCAGTATTGAAGGAAGGGGGTCATCAGTTTCCGAGTGCAGAAGGCCATAGTTCGCCGACACCAGACTTGGTGGAAAAACCATTAATGGGTGTAAAAGTCTCGCGCACAGCAAAACCGTAGGTCAATCAAGGAACATCCCCTCTTCGTCTCTCCGTCTTTCGGAGAGTCTTCGGGCGATGCAAATGTCAGATAATCACTTTACCGTATGGGGAAAGGCAGAGCATTACATAAAGCCTGTTCTATCTTCGCTCCAGGGATCTTGAGGCAGCACACAGCAAGAAACCGTGTGATAACGGGTTTCCTTGCATAATTTGAATAGTAGGACACTGCTAACGTTGAAATTTCACAGATAGGACACACGTGACATATTTATAATTCATGCAAAGTTCTACAGAATTTAATGTTGGCTGCAAAAGGGATACACTCCCTTCAAAGCTAATCTTGAGCTCTGGTTTGGGCATTGTATGTCGAGAGAACATGGCTAAAATTCATTTTAGATTGTTTATCGGTACATTGTTTGTTTGAACCAGTAAAATAAACACAATCTCACCTCTTGCTGGTAATCATCTTCAATAAAAACCATAACTCTCATTTGCACATAGGGACCTGTGTGTGTTAAGCACATGGTGTCTGGCCTACTTACCTTGATTTCCTTATCTTTCTACGCTCATTACTCAGTCCCTATACATTTTCCATCAAAATCAGTTTGGCACATGTCATTTATTTGTAATCTTGAACATTCAGTGTAAGTTTTGTTGGATTCTGTGAGAATTCATTTTCTATCATTACCAGGACTCCAGCTTATCTTTAACACATTTTTTTCCTAGTATGACATAAGAATACCTTCTTAATCATTCTACGCAAAAAAGATCTTTATTCACGTATAAAGGTCAAAGGTCATACCTTCTTGGCAATCATTGTGACCAAAGACAACTGGACTCTTCGTCTGTGACAACAGTCTCCTGAAAATGTAAAAAGATAAATTTCTGAATAAGCAAGAAAAACTAAAATTCAAGAAAAACTGAAGTAAGCACCTGATGTCAAAAGCCAGTTTGGATATACGTCATTTGTACAAATTTGGGACCTGTTTCATAAACCTTGATATCAATGAGGCTGTTCACACCGCAATGAGATAGCGCGGTCTATCGTAGCACCCCCTCTTTTCTAGCGCGCGCTAGACCGCGCTATCTCTCGTGGACAACCCCCGTGAGGTGCTCCAGTGGCACGCCGTTTTGGCTCGACGTGGCTCACTGTTGGGCGGAACGAAACAACGTTGTACCTTCCAAACCGCAGAGATAGTGCGAGATAGCGCGCGCTATTTCTGCCGGTATGAACAACCTCAATAACAAGTTTCAAGCTAATGTTATAACAGTATACTGGTAAGCTATATATATTTATATATATAAATAAGCTACTGAAATCAAGGCATCTGATTGGCTGAGAGCAAATTTATCATAGAAATTAAGCATTTGTTATAGATAAAAAGTTTTATGAAACAGGCCCTTGTAAAACTCATCGAAATGATGCTGGATAGGTGTTCATGAAAGTTATTTAATCATTATTCACTCATGCACCTATAGTACATTCTATGATACACAGATGGACGTATTCTTTTCATGAGGGCAAACAAAAGTATTCATGAAGCACCTCCATCACTTTGGCAGTGATTATTAAAATACACAAAGTGGGGATTCTCCATGTTTAAAGGGACTGGGTTATCTTTGCCTCAGATTCTAAACCAAATCTTGGATTTAGCTCATGCTGCAATCATAATTATAAACCTTTAGGTCAGTCAGGAATCCCATGACTTTTACAAGCCGATCGCCTGTCTGATTATCAAGATATTCATGATTGGAATTATAAATTTCAAAAAACGTTTTCCCAATGGTTTTTATAACACTTCAGTCTGACTATTGAGGAAAATGAGTATGGTATAAGTCACTCCAAGATTTTTTACTTTTTTGAAGCACTTCATGACAATTTTGAAGCGCAATTTCTTAGGGCTTCAATATTACACCATACAACACACTGATAACATGTAGGGCCATGTATCTCAGATTTGTAAAACTGGAAACATTGTTAAACAATGCCTTTAAAGCCCATCTGTACTAGTTTACAGGAGGGATTATACCACCCTGCAAGGTCACTGACAGATGGTTATTTCATCAAATCGGCTCTCACTTAACATAAGAAAAAGAGGATCATGGGGGACCAATGGTCACCGATTAAGGCATTGTTTGCTATATAGTGGGCGCAAGTAGCTATAAGTAGTGCAGTGGGCCTTTAAAAAATCTGTCGATATTATAGGACTCGGTTTCACATGTACATATATTTCAAGACTCACTTGATAAATATTCTCTCTTCATCAAGGTCGAAGGCCATAATCTGTTTCATGAACTGTTGGTTACTGTCATCTTCGAAGGTCAATCCAAGAGCCTTGTTGAACCATCTGAAATAAGAATAAATCAACAATTTTTGTTAAAGGTACTATGTCCCATTTGCAGGCCAAAAAAATGAAAAGGTTAAATTCCAATGGCATTTATAAGATAATACTAATTTAGAACTTCCCTAAAAAAGGTGGGGCTTGAAAATGTCTTCAAGTGGAAAAATAACGACTTTTAGTTTTCAAATTGACTTAGGAGCTATACAGAGCCGATAAGTAATAGTCTTGATTTTCAGACCATTGTACTGAGTGGTCATACGTTTTATGCAGCGAAAAGATTCAATCAGTTTAATTTTGGCCATCACAAGAAGTGGTTTATTGATGTAGACAAATGCTCATGTACCCTTTACAGCTCATGTTATGTACATGTTATTACCAAAGAAGAAAAAAGCCAGTCAGTCACTCATAGGCCCGAATTCACAAAGGAGGTTTGTAAAAAAATGTGTAAAAACGCGTCATACGACGTACGAAAACCAAGGTTTGTCGACAAACCTCCTTTGTGAATTCGGGCCATAGTGTCTGACAGTGAAGTCTAGCAGGTGAATAGGTTTCTTTGCATAATTTGAATATTACGACACTGTTAACATTTAAATTTCACAGATAGGACATACATTACATATTCATAATTCCTGCAAAGTTCTACAGAATTTGAGGTTGGCTGCAAAAGGGACACAGTACCTTTAAGGTAACAAATTTCATTGGCCCGAATTTACAAAGGAGGTTTAGCAATATGAGCGTATTGGACATTTGACTTTCAAAGGGTTGAAGGTTCAAATCCCAACCAGGCACTAACATCCTTAATACAGTCAAACCTGTCTATAGCGAGCACCAAAAAACACAAATAGTGGATGTTGTAGACAGGTTTGCATTGGTGGCCATTTTGATTTTAAATAATTAATTGATAGCACTCGCAAGGCCTGTTGCACACCTGGGGCGCAGATCTGTAAACAATTCTCTGTGGCTTTATAAGGACTCAGTCGGGCGAAAACTAGGCAGAGAGCCAATCAATAAAAGTAACAAAGCTTAAAGATGAAGTTGAGTTCCGGTCATGCGTTGGCATTGTGAAAGAAACGGTGTGGAATCGACCTGAAAATGTTGATCATCTAGCATATAAGAATTTGTGTGTATTGGAAGGTTCTGGAATCATCAAAATGATAAGAAATTTGGCCAAGTCTTGGTAAAGTCACAAACACTGTACACAGAAAGATGGATATGGGACTACACAAACATGTGGCGTAAAAATCCTACCCCAGAGTTTAACGATGTTACATGATATATTTAGAATATGAATGCATTTGAAGAGCCATGCTTTTCAGGGAACATGTCTTATCTGATGTTCTCCCACACTTGCATAATAAGAATGATAACACTCCCACCTTATTTTTCACCTCTTCCCAGAACTCAACCTTCTCTTTAAGCCTTCATGGGCAACACATTTCATTTCCTCTGAGTGTACTTTTGGCACCCTGGTGAAAATGATATTGGTAAACATAAACATTTGCCATTGTTTATTTTGTATCAGACAAAAAGATAAATTTGTTATGTCTGTGTACCATCTGAAGAATTCTGTCTTTTTTTGTTTTGTTTTAGTTTGTTTGTTTGTTTTAGTTTGTTTGATTTTGTTTGGCTTTGCCTCGCTTTGCACAGATCTGTTCTGTTTTGTTTTGGTCGGGATGGATGGAGGGAGGGTTCGGATTCCCCAAGGTTACAGAAAACAATAACATTTTGAAGCAGAATAAGACAAGACAGACACAACGTTCAAATTGCATGTAAATGACTCCAGCAGATAGGACTTTTGGTAAACAAATTAACCCATTAAGTCTAGCGCAACATCTTTGAATGGTTCTTGGGCAGTTCATATAACGGTCATGTGTAGGATAAGTACTAAAGCAAAACCTATCGCTGAATGAACCTTTGTCATGTCTATGCCGCTACATTGCTTCCGATAAATACAATAAATGTCTGGAATGAGGGAGTGTATTTCATTTTTGGAATTATAAATCCCCTGGCGTGGGAAATGTGTGTTTCGGACAGGGTTGGGCGGTAAATACAGGTGGCGGTAATTACCGGCGGTAAATACCGGTAAATACCATCTGGTAAATAAGATGCGCGTCCGGTAAATATGTAAAAAACAGGAAATATGATTTTAATTCTCTATTTATTAATAATTTTACTTGTTTTTAGCCTCATAACTGAAAATATTGTTCTGAAATAATTAGCAGCACAATACTCATAGTAGGAACACACAAACAGATTTACAGTATGAAATCCTCACAAAATTGTACACACCCAAACAAATGGCATTTTGTGCATATCCATGAAGATGGTAATTAGCAACTGGGAACCAAAACCTTCATACAAGTTACTTTTATTGTAAAGTTTAAGATATTTGAATAAAATCAGTGAAAATTTGAACAAAATCGGGCAAGGAATAAGGAAGTTAAAGCTTTTTGAAATGACTAGTCACTAGAGGGCGATATTCAATTTGATGACATCATTTGTGGACAACTCTCCATGCCTTTTGTACATCAAATTTCATGTTTTTCCTTCTTTCTTGTGATTGAGATAATAGAATGCAAAAAGATATTCTACTTCACATGTTATGAAATCCGATCAAGAACACAAATAAATAGGAAAAAAACGAAAGATTGTGAAATTTGATGTACAAAAGGCATGGAGAGATGTCCACAAATGATGTCATCAAATTGAATATCGCTCTCTAGTGACTAGTCATTTTAAAAGGCTTTAACTTCCTTTTTCCTTGCTCGATTTTGTTCAATTTTTCACTGATTTTATTCAAATATCTTAAACTTTACAATGAAAGTAACTTAGTATGAAGGTTTTGGTTCCCTAATGAAGAACATCATATCTAGATTAGGTGTATATTTGGTATATTTTTTCTGTATTTTTTTCCAGCATTACATAATTACAGACATAGACAAACACACCAACAAACACAAACACACACAAATACTACACGCAAGAGCAACCATACTCACCACCATTGTTATTATGTCCAAAATTGGACAATCCCTATGAACAAGTGAGTGGAAAAATATATTTCCCGGTATTTCCCGGTAAAAAGTGGTAAATACCGGTAAAAAGTGGTAAATACCGGTAAAAAGCGGTAAATACCGGTAAATACCGCTTATTTCCCGGCGTCCGGGAAATAAGCCTCTGAAGCGGGAAATATGCCAACCCTGGTTTCGGAATCATGAATCTTTGAAATTATGAACCTTTAGAAAAATGTAGTGTCAATAAAATGAGGGCCTCCCATTAGTCTTAGAGTGTGTTCAAGCGAATTTTTGAAGATAGAATCACAAACATGAATCACAAATCAAAACGCCCTTACAAAACACGGTTACTGTGGGAGATCGTTCCCAGGCATTTTCCTTCAATGCTGATTCTCGCTCATTTCAAGCCCAGCCAATGTGCATCATATTGCACAGTTTGACTCAGAAAGTATAGGTCAACTTTGGCGTCCACCTTTCTGAATTTGTTTACGGTCGACTGTTGGCCGAACCGGAAGCAGGCCACTATAATGACGTCATAGAATCACGATAGAGATTTCTGTTGAGTTCAAGCGGTTTTTAGCGACGTGATTCACAAAACGCATCTTTCTCAGCGTTTCATGTTTGCGCTTTGAAACAAAAAAATTCCTTGAACGCAACCATGTTTTAAAGATAAAGTTGAGTTCTGATCATGTGATTGCCAGAAAAGGTTGATCATCTAGCATATACAATACCGCCCAGAAGTTATTGGGCATGTTTTTGCGGGGCGGGTTTTCCCCGATGGGTATTTCACGATAAAATCACGATAAAATATCGATGAAATACTGATAGAATCACGATAAAAATCACGATAATTTGCACACTAGTGAATGATTTCCTCTATCGGGGGATGCGTGTAACCCGCCTAATCCCCCGATCTATCGTGTTTCATGGTGCGCGTATTTGCAACTAGTCAAGTCATGTCCTCTGCAAGCGCATGTCTTGCTCATCGCGCGCGCTAAGTCTTGATATGTATGATTTGTACGCGCAGTTCCGTATGTGTCTTTGTTTACGTCACAATAGAAAGTATTCACGAGTAAACATTACACACGGTTAAATACTAGTAAAAGCCGTCGCTAAATCACTGACACTGGGCGCGGATAAGCATCGGGTACTGATGCGGTGAAGCAACGAGTAGATCTAACTATATTCAAGTTGCAAAAACTTGCATGATTTGCATTCATTGAAATTATAATTGTGAGCACAATACCTTTCATTTTCACTGCCATATTTTCTGTTCGCCTACTCCAGATATGCGTATCTCATTCCACAACCATGAAAGTGGTGAATAAATTCAATTCAATTCAATTCAACCTCCACCAAATAAAATAAAAATATTCCCAAGATCGTCGCTTCAGAAAACACGCACGCGATCAGATTCTTTCATTTGCCCTATCAGTATCACTGACAAGACTGCCGTAAGAAGGGTCTCCACCCCTAAAAAAGAAAACGTCCAATCATGGACATTCTTGCCTACTGGTCACGCGTAAAAGTTGCCAGGTGGACTAGTAACCAAGGTTACCAAAACACGCGTAAATAAACATTTTTAGTCGACGGCATTGGATGATTGATAAATAATAAAATCTGTAAAAATGGCATGGATCAATTACTGTAACTGTCTTCGGAGTGTGGATTAGACCAGAGTTGAATTAACAGGAAAACATGTAGGAGAGAGAGAGATAATTGAGAGGGAGGTAGTGTTGAGCTGGAGATAGATGAAGATATTATTCGAGAAGGAAAGGAGTTATGATCGAGGTCAGGATGGGGGAAAAAAAATGGATAATTATCTACTTAACAGGGTTGACTAAATATAAGTAGGCAAGACACCAATACGTTAGTCTATTTTCCGTACACCTTTCTACTTCCACTCCTTATTCATCGACACTAGACGAAAACGTTCATGGGTGGAGAAATGTGACAAAGAGGGTGAGAGCATGGACCTAAGTATTTGGAGAGCAAGAGAGACGAGAGGAAATCCCACTAGTATCTTCACGAGGGGGGGGGGGCTACACGTAATAGAGAGAGAGAGAGAGAGAGAGAGAAAGAAAAATGTTTGATGGGAGCGCAGGCTAGCGAAATCATACTAAGGGAGACATTTACGTACATTTACTTTTGAGAAATAAACAGTAGGATTATGTCTGCCACATGCGTTGAGAGCTGGCTCCCCTCGGCTGACACATCGTAAATAACAAAGATAACATTCAATGACATTTTTAACCGAAGATTGAAAACTAGGTCATTCACACTTCTTTTTCTTTTTATCATTTATAATTACTTTGTACGATGGCGATGTTAAAAAATAGGATGTTGGAAAGGAAGAAAAAAAGTTGGATCGTAGATTAAATGACATTGATTTGCAAAACTGGAACGATGAAGTTCATGAAGTTCATGTTTCAATTACAGAATTTTTAAACAGGTAATCGGTTTGGAAGAATATATGTTAAAGTTGGATTTCAGTGATAATAATATTTATAATTAATTTGCCTGATGTTGCATTCAATTCATTTATGGTTTGCTGCTTCGCAATCGGATATAAAATAAATGATAATTTTAAAAGCAAACTCGTATCATTGGCGACGCAGGGGGGGGGGGGGTGGAGGGGAGAAGAAAAGAAAAGGAAGGAGGGGAAAAGGAAGAAGAGTAAATCTAAAAATAAAATCAAATAGACAGACGAAACAAGCAGAGAACTGCATCAATCGGAAATTCTAATTTTTTCGCCAATAATTGAATGTTTAAACAACAAGAGAGCTTGCGTACATTTCATATTGTGTTTCAAGTGTTTCTAAACAATGGGTTTGGAGTCAAGGTGTCTGGCAGCATGTGGTTATCTCAGAAGTTAGTATAAACAGATCATGTTCGCGCCGTAAGATCACGTGATCATAGTAGTGATGATTGAACCTTCGAGAGAAAACTATAAGCGCATGCATTTTTTAAAATCTTTACCTCATCATCTTTTCTGTTTTTTTTTATTTCTTTGTTTTACCTTTTCTCGAAATATAAATATGTGTATGTATTCCCTTCGCTTGTTCCTTACGGTTCAAGGAGAATTACCCCCTTGCACAATCACCCCCTTTGTTTAATTCCTTGTTTTTCTTGCTATCAATTCGATCAATCATTTTTTGTTTTGTTTATCCTTATTTCTTACCATATGTAGATCTTTGTTAAGCCGTTATTATTTATTATTATTATTATTATCATTATTAATCATTCTTCTGGTTTATTCCTTCGTAAATGTGTTTTAATACTTTATGTTTTTCTTAGATTTCTTTCTATCATTTTATATTTTGTCCTCAATCCTCGTGTATTTCTTTGTTATTTCATTATGTATTACTCCAATTTTGATTACGGGAGCTTGCCAACCCAGGTATGTGTACATGTATTTAGCTTGCATGCAAACTGAATGTCATAAAATGGAGATCGAGATCGAGGGGTTTTCCAATTCCGGGAATCCCTGAGCGCGCGCACTACATATCAAATTTCAACTACTTTGTGGACCACGAGGTACATTGGCTGATCGAGATCGCGTTGCTTTTGTTTTTGATAATGCCGTTTGCGGTCTGTGGCAAAATTTGTAATGTGTAGGGACAGGGTCAACCGATTGGTATTATGAATGAATAAAATAATATTTTTTTATTATTTGGAGTTACGGATCCTTTATTTATTCTGTTAATTTTCAATTCTCTATCTCTCTTAATTATCTTTGTCTGATATATTTCACTCTTCACTCCCTTCCCTCTTTCTTTTCTGTCCCTGTCACGCTAACGGTAACGGTACCCCTCCGCCTCTTCTCTCCTCTTCCCTTAATTATTCACGCCTTCCTGAAAATCTCACAACATACACATAATTCTTCTAGAAATAACAACCGCATTTATCCAAAAATTCTAAGATTCTACCCACATATTAGATCTGATATGTACATGTAATGATGAATACTCTCGATTAGACAGAAATAACCGTCTGATATGGGTCATTACTCTTTGATAAATCTTACATTTGTCAACATTCCTCATACACAGACGGTGACCCTTACGGCTCGCACGACGGGGGGGGGGGGGGGGGGGGGGGGGGGGGTGAGCCTTTCTTTTCTTCCCGTTTTTCCTTATTTAGATCTAAATTTTCCGATCAATAAATCGGACATAAGAAAGTATGTATATTTCTTTAAATTCTTACAATTTTAATCGAGTAATTGCAATGGCGAAATTTAGGCGAATTAGATCACGCGTTTATGAATATCAAAATATCACCGGGTCAAGCCGTGCTGACTCGTACGCACATGTAGGTATCGGACGTCCGGAAAAAAAAAGAGCATTCATTATTGGCTGCACAACAAATAATGTTAACGACAAGTCTTTCTCGGATTAAACATAAGCGGAATAGCCGTCGATATTAGAGACTGAAGCTTTCGGTCTAACTCTTGATATACTCTCGGATCTCCTCTGCCATGATATGAGCTATCCCAAACATTCCTCCCCCCTCAAATAAAAAAAAAGATGTCGTATCGTGGGAAAGGCCAATTAGACACCTGGGGGGTGTTTCACAAAGATCCTAAGTAGAACTTAACACTAAGTTTGACTTAAAAATTATGGACAGCCATTGGAGCCTTAAAATGAAATATACTCAAAAGCAGAAATTCAAGTATTTTAGACATTTTATAAATTCCACAACAAGAATATGAAATCTCCTTGATGATAGAAAATATGAATGATTTGAATAAACATTTTATGCCTTTCAAAAATATTTTTACCAAATATTTTCAAAGATGCTAATGGCCGTCCATAATTTTTAAGTCCAACTTAGAGTTAAGTTCTACTTAGAATCTTTGTGAAACACCCCCCTGGTTCTTGGTTTCTGCACTTCTCTCATCGGATAACTTTTCTCTCCGCATGCGCAATCCCAAACATTCCCCGTAGCACATTGTCTCGTGTATTTATGCATGGAATGAAAAGAGCATTCATTCACGCTTTTGTGATGTAATAATCAAGTGATTGTGACGTCAGTGGCAAGCGCGCATCGGTATGTTTGAGGATGCGCAGGCTCAGCAAGCGTATAAATACAGCATGCTGTGCGCAGTTCTATCGTGATAATAACAAACTAAAAGGAAATATCACGATATGCATCGGGGATTTAGCGAGTTGATCAAGTTGAGGAAAAAAATCATGATAGAGATGAATACAAATCACGATGATTCTCACGATAAAAACACGATAAAACCCGTCTACAATCACGCTAACCTCCTATCGTGAAACACGATCCCGCATGCCCAATAACTTCTGGGCGGTATTGTAAGTATTGGTGTACTGCAAGGTTCTGGAATCATCAAAATGATAAAGAAATTTGGCCCAGTCTCGGTAAAGTTACAAGCACTGTACACATCCTATTGTGGGACTACACAAGCATATGCCATAAAAATCTGTCCCGATTTTTATTATTTAGAATATTAAGGCATTTGAAGAGCCATGCTTTACAGGGAACATTTTTTATCTGATGTTCTTCCACATTTGCATAATAACAATGAAAACGCTCACAAATTATAATTCACCTCTCCCCGGAACTCAACCTCTCCCCAGAACTCAACCTTCTCTTTAAACTAAATTTCTTTGAAAACCAGAGTTTCTAGGGTAAATAGTGTCGCTTGAATGTGCTCTTACTTGTCTAGCACTTGGTCCAGCCATCTTGGTGTCTTACACAGAGGAAGCTGGAGTTGATGGAAGCCAGCTAGCTTGCCGGCGATGATCCTAGAGAGTTCCGGATTCGATAGTTCATCGGTTCTTAGGGCACGGGACTGTAAACAAGCAAACAAACAAACAAATAAATAAATAAACAAACAAATAATACTAACAGTGCTCATGCGATCTAGAATGTATTCCGTTGGAACCTGAAATGAGTCAAATTCCAGTTGTTATGTCCTCTTTTCATATATTTGTATTTGTAAGCGCTATGGTACTTATTGTTTTTAGCGCTCCTAAATATTTGATATTAATCAATTATTAATTATTCATTAATTTTAGCCAATCATGGTTCATTGTTACAGCTAAAAAAAATTAGGAAGGAGTTAATTATATGTGTGTATTGTAATTATTAATTAATTAACACGCATTATTGTAATTAACCCATTAGCAACTAGAGATTTTTTTTTGTAAAAATGGCCTGTTACTCACTGGAAGATGTTGCAGTATTGCTCTCATTTTGACATTGTTCTGAGCAATAAATATAAACATGCGCTATTTTTCTATGCAGAATCATACTGCAGACATCCTAAGGATTACGCAGGTATAACATTATCACGGTAGACCCCATAGAACGGATAATACAGCGCGTTGAAAACGAAAACGGATGGGCGGTTCAGTGAGCTAAAGGAGGTGCTGTTTCGGGCGGTTTAGTTGCTAAAGGGTTTACACATGTTCCAATGGGATGTCGGTGAACGGTTTCATGAAACGATACCCTGATTCCACTAGTGATGTACTCCCTGTTAACCGGGTCTGAGAGTACCATGACTTGATTGGAATTCTAACTAGGACCAAGTGATGGTTCGTCCAGAGACGGACTGTATCAAATACACCTGTTGTAGAATACGACACCTCTAATAAGATTCTTGGCAGATCAATGATTAAAGGCATCTTTTAACAATGTTAAATCCGACATGCATGGCCCTACCTGTCATCAGTGTCTGTGATATAGTGTAATATTGAAGCCCTACAAAAATTGCGCTTCAAAATGATCATGAAGTGCCTCAAAAAAGTAAAACTCTTTGAGTGACCGGTTTTACCATACTCATTTTCCCTAATAGACTGCAGTGTTATGAAAACCATTAGGAAAACGAAAAAAATGAAATTTCGATTTCCAATCATAAATATCTTGATAATCAGACTGGCAAACTGCCTGTAAAAGTCATGGGATTCCTGACTGACCCAAATGTTTCTAATTATGATTGCAGCATGAGCTAAATCCAGGATTTTGTTTCAGAATCTGAGGCAATGTTACCCAATCCCTTTAATTTAGCCTTGGACCATGGTTGAACCGAGTGAACTGGCCTTATGCAGGCACAGCGGAGCACCCCAATTTGCATATCATTAGCGGCCCGTTCTATTTGAATAACCAACGGACATCTGCGTGAATCCGAACATGTGTGTGCTAGAATGTCAAATCTTAAAATTCGCGTTGCGCCTTTATTATTGCCAATATCGCTATGAAACTTTCTATACTAACTAAAATTATTATGAATTTTATGTCAGTGAAATAAATACGAAATTCCATGGAATAAAACTCGAGATATTAATGTGTTTTGAGCTTCGCCCCTCGAAAAACACGACGTCTACTTTATAATGCGATGACCCTATCAAGCAATGCACGAAGTAGAGACTTGGTATGAATATTCATTAGGGTTAAATCCATACATGGGCGAAATTTTCGCTTCTCCGCTGTATTTTTTTTGGTTATAACGTTCTTTTTCATGGGGCTTCATTTTTAAAAGTTGTAGTCAGCGAACTCATTGAACATGACGTCATCGATCTCAGCGATGTACTGCGCATGCGTCTTAGGCCCAGTGCATGCCAGATCGAAACAGCTGAGCCATTAGCGTGCACGTGTGCAGTCGGCTGGCAAGACATGTATAGCCAACGCACACGCGAGGTTTAGACATGACACACATTTGAATGTATGGGACTGGTCAAACAATTTTGCGACAACGAAGGATTATTTTTGTTCGATGAGATTCGGACATTGGGGTATGTTTTTCTCTGAGACGACCCTATCAAGCAACTATGAAAAGAGATATTTCACAAGGATTGAGATTATTAAATTTTCTTTCTGTTCATACGAGGCAATTCTTTCTCGCTCTAAAAGAAATGGTGAATTTTACGGTGATTTTGTATCTCATTTTTTTCGTTTTTGTTCGTCAAAACTATCCCTTAAATTTCACATTTTCTGTGCATCAATAACTCCTTTTATACACATGAGTGTCTTGCAAATTTATTAAATACTCGATTTAGTAGCTTTGATTGGTGATATTCATCACATTAATGAAGAATTTGTCTTCGAAATTTGTTTACTTTTTTTCGCATCGATCGGTACACAATTGTTGATTTTATGCAAATGATGTTTACTGGACGAGAGTCGATCGCACGGTAATTGGGGTGCTCCGCTGTGCCTGTATGGCATTTCAGTGCAATGGTCTGGAAGGAACATATGTTTGACATCATTTATCGTCTCCTTCTGTACCCTTGCTACCCTTGGTATTAACTTGGAATATCTCATACTCGCTATGATCATCAACTGTGTAATGTACTTAACATCAGTTTAAAGAGAAGGTTGAGTTCTGGGAAGAGTTGAAAAATAATTTGTGAGCATTACTCATTCTTATTATGCAAGTGTGGAAGAACATCAGATAAGACATGTTCCCTGAAAAGCATGGCTCTTCAAATGCCTTCATATTCTAAATATGCATGTAACATCGTAAAAATCGGGGGGGGGGGGGGGGGGGGTGGCTTTTTACGCCACGTGTTCGTGTAGTCCCATATACATCTTTCTGTGTACAGTGTTTGTAACTTTACCAAGACTTGGCCAAATTTCTTATCATTTTGATGATTCCAGAACCTTGCCGGTTCCACACCGTTTCTTTCACAATGCAATCGCATGACCAGAACTCAACTTCATCTTTAAGTGATAAGTTATTGGAACATGGTATATAAACATATGTAAATTGTTGTCATCAGCATCATCCAAATTATCTGCAAAGTCATTATCAGTCATTAACCTCAATATCATTCTCAACATCCTCTTCATTGTCGCCATCCTACTCAAAAAAAAAATTCTTTCACCGATATCACCATCACCGTAATCATCATCATCATCGCCACCACCAGCATCCTATGTAAAAATTTTGTTCACCAACATCATCACCATCTTCATCATCATCATCATCATCACCACCTTCATCATCGTCATCATCACCATCATCGTCACCATCATCATCATCATCATCATCATCACGATCATTATCATTACCATCACCATCACCATCATCACAACCATCATCATCCTGCTCCTCTTCAACAATGTTCTTTCTTCATCACCACCATGACCATTACACCCAAAATCCAATCAAAATTGAACTCACTGGAATGAATTCTTCAAGTCGTCCCTCGCTGAAGACCCCGTAGAGCTTCGGAGCTTGCCTCCTCTCCGAGAGCAACGAGAAGATCACGGTGTCAAGAAGCGGCGTCTCGCCCTCAAAGAAGATCTCGCCGTAGACGCGGAGAAGGACCTCGCCTGGCTCGGTAGTGCATTTAGCTCGCTGGTGGGCGGGAAGAGAGCATAGGTAAAGGTAGTTACTAAGACCCGCTCTGTGTTTCCACGCAACCAATGCATATGGATAGGACAAAAGAGAAGGAAAAAAACAGCATGCAAGTATTGATCAAATAAAATTGCTATTCTATACTATTTTCGTTCAGTCTCCTGTTCACTCAGAAGAGCTGCCTAAGGTTTTGCTGCAACAGCATCGATTCAGATGTGGTCTTTGGAATATAACGTCCTTTTCGGCTCAGTTTTTCGAACTATCATAGCTACCGATATGACTTCACACAGATCTAGACAATGAGAAATCTCTAATACTAGATTAGTTCATCTTTAGCAAGCTTATTTAGGTTTTAAAGTCTGGCTTTTGATTTTCATAAGACATGGGCTTCAAATGGTTTGAATATTTTGGCTCCAAAATCTACTGTATGGCATTGACAATTATTACGATGCACATGTAGCCTTTGGAAGAGGAAGTATAGTGTCATTTCACATGTAAATTCAACATAAACTGTGTTTGGACTTCCAGGAGGGCCTTGGGGTTATAGCCATCTTTAGAACGCTTGAGGACATCCCTCAAAGACCACATACTCCACGCTACTGCATCCGCAAAACCTTTGATTATCATAAAACAAAAGAAATGACATGGAGGATCTGACAACCTTGTTGGCCAACACAGGATGCTTGAAAAGTCGCAGCAAAGTGGTCCTAGGTTCCCCAAATATCGGCGACCGGTGGGGCGGTAAACTGCAAATATAATGCTTGTTGGTGCTTTTGCCCAAACTGTGAAAGGGTGAAAGGGTAAAAAAATGTGGTTATTTTTTACTTGTATAACATGCATAAAAGTTGAAGTGGATTTGTTTCAATCCAAGACAAACGCACGAGAACTAAGAAGTGAGTGGGAGAGAGAGAGAGCTAGATACATGTACATGTATGTACATACATGTGATAAAAAGGGAAGGGAGGGAAAGGTGCTCGATTGATGATGCACCAATAATAGTATTTTTTTTTAATGAAGGAAACAAAACCATCAATGTCGACTTGAAAATGATAGACTCGCTTAAATAAGAATTCAAAATAATCATGAAAAGGAAAGTGTAATAAGTCAATAAACGAAGGATAAAAATACCCAGAAAGCTGAAGATAAAAAGGTGAACAAAGTAATTCCTTTTTTTGTGCATGATCAACCTGAATATAATCACTGTAAGATGGAGGAACTACCAAAAAAAGGGAGGTCAACTGAACAAGAATGAGTCATAACTTACAATGGTTTTAAAGATAAACTTGAGTTCTGGTAAAAAAAGAAAATGAATTCTCACAGAATCTAACAAAACTTGCACTGAATGTTCTACAGGTAGATTACAAATAAATGTCATGTGCCAAACAATTTTGGAAGAAAATGTATACTGGCTGAGTAATGAGCATAGAAAGATAAGGAAATCAGGGTAGTACTAGCCCCGACACCATGTGTGTTGTCCCATATACATCTTTCTGTGTAAGTGATTGTTACTTTACCAAGACTCTGCCAAATCTATGATGATTTTGATGACTCCAGAACCTTGCATTACACACCATTACTTACATGCTGTATGATCAACTTTTCTGATCCATTCCACACCTTTTCTTTCACAATGCAATCGGCTCGCATGATTACCATACCAGAACTCAAGTTTATCTTTAACAAGGGAAACGCTCTCGGCGGTCTCGCCTGCATAACGCAATTCAATATGATAAACCAGAACGTCAATGACGTAGCGCTCATCCGCATCTCGCAACAACAAATATCATATGTGGTACACTTTTGAACTGGTCAAAAAATAAAAATTTGATGCCCTGGAAGGGACATAATTTCATTTCATTTGCATAAAGTACCATAAATAATCAATGGAGCAAAATCTCACAATTCTGTGTAGAAGTTTAGTGTTCCAAATTTAGCTCTACCAGACTTATAAGTACAATCAACTTCAGAAAGGGAACATGAAATATTGAATTGATTGAAAAATCATTAATTTGATTGATTCATCTGTCATTAATTATAACAGAAATTCTTTATCAATTGGTTTTTGAGAGTAACAAAGATCATGTCACGGCAGACTTATACATAACAAAGGAAATATCGCTGTTTTCAACGAGCGTGTAATTAAAAGTACAATCAACTTCAGCCAAAATTCTGCACTTTTTCAATTCACGAAATAAAAACAAAACAAGAAAGAACGAATGAACGTAACCAGTCGCTGATGGATATTTGCTTGAACCAAGGGTGGACCCTGAATTTCAGTCGATCAGAGTGCGAAAAATGTAATGTTCTCGAATTCTACCAGTTATGGAAATTGTTGATTGGGGTGCTGGGGTGGGGGGGGGGGGATGGGGAGGTGGTGAATTGTCCTTGAAAAATTGCCTGACGAGTAACAAAAAAGGCGGAACATGCAATTTATCATTTTATGAATATTGATGCACATGGTACCGTATACAAAAATTGCAGATGTCATTAATTATGTTGCAGTACGTAAAATTATTTCACAAACATCTGTTATGTATTGTTTCGTTTAAAAATAATTTGTTAGTCTGCATGTACACGTACACTGTACATGCCACATGGTACCGTATGCAAAAATTCTATGTCATTAATTATGTTGCAGTATGTAAAATTATTTCACAAACATCTGTTATGTATTGTTTCATTTAAAAATAATTTGTTAGTCTGCACCCCAATGAACAATTTCCATAACTGGTAGAATTTGAGAACATTACATTTTTCGCACTCTGATCGACTGAAATTCAGGGTCCACCCTTGGTGCAAGCAAATATCCATCAGCGACTGGTTACGTTCATTCGTTCTTTCTTGTTTTGTTTTTATTTCGTGAATCGAAAAAGTGCAGAATTTTGGCTTAAGTTGATTGTACTTTCAATGTTTTTGAACGATACTTCTGATTACACGCTCGTTGAAAACAGCAACATTTCCTTTGTTATGTATAAGTCTGCCGTGACATGATCTTTGTTACTCTTAAAACCAATTGATAAAGAATTTCTGTTATAATTAATGACAGATGAATCAATCAATTCAATATTTCATGTTCCCTTTCTGAAGTTGATTGTACTTATAAGTCTGGTAGAGCTAAATTTGGAACACTAAACTTCTACACAGAATTGTGAGATTTTGCCCCATTGATTATTTACTTTTTGCATGATATTTATCTATTTGTACAGTGAACATGTATTTCATATATTTAATCAAAAATCAGAAACTTTGACTGTACAAATATACAAATATCATACATGTATTTGCATGATATTTATCTATTTGTACAGTGAACATGTATTTCATATATTTAATAAAAAATCAGAAACTTTGACTGTACAAATATACAAATATCATACATATATTTGTATAATATTTATCTATTTGTACAGTGTACGGGTGTACATGCAGGTAATAGCTTCATGTATCGGTACCTCAATATCTTTAAACTCCTTTCTTTTCACACAATTAAAGCTTAATACGACTTGCTATCTTTACTGGATAGAACTCGCCAAGTGAGGGTCAAAGTTTCTGATTGTTGAAAAAACAAATATTTATCTCCTTTCCTTTACCCATATCAAACACATGTACATGTACATGTAGGTAATAAACTAATAATAACCACATTTTATCTAACAGAACACTTGAAATGGTTGTACATTATAGGCCTGTCTTCATCAGCTCAAGATTACCAATTCATCAGCTCGAGATTAACAAATAGCCCTCAATTTCTGATTTGGGAAATAATCCTGAAGTTGCAAATCGCGTTTTCATCCGCTCGAGACTTGACCTCGAAACTTGAGCTTGAGAAATTAGCTCGAGATATTTTGCTGAGCGTTCGCACATAGTGCGAGTCAAATAGCGGGATATTTTGCAAACTAGCCCAAGATATCTTGGGAAGATTATCTTGACCAAATATCCTGCTAATTGCAACTTCGGGCTGATGAAGATGCAAATCAACTGGATAATTTGTGATCAGGATAGTTCAAATAGCAGGATATTTGGCAATCTCGAGCTGATGAAGACATGTCTATTATGAAAGTCACTTTGAGACCAAGACAGAACAGGTCAAGGAGTCGGAAAACAATACTATTTGTCTAGGGGTGTTGAAAATCACCTTGAGATTTTGAGAGATCATGGACTGATGTACATTTAAATCTGTTATGTTTATAGGTGTATTCTTGTTTTTCTTTTGATTGTTTTGTATTTTTATCAGATTGTGGAAATAAACTAAACTTGAAACTTGAATTTATCTATATACATGTGTGTACAAGTCGATAGTACTTGTGCTGTGAGCAGTCAAGGAAAGAATTATTGTTGTTTAAACAATTTCTAGTGTATTGATAAAATATGTCCTCGTTAAAATTACATGTACATGTACGTGTAAGTCACTTTGGCATTTTTATGTAAATGAAGCAAAATCAGACATGGATAGGACCTGTTTTACAAAGCCTTTTTTCAATGACAAATAACAAATAAATCAGTGACAGATCTGCTGATGAACAATCAGAAGCAAGGATTTCAGTAGCTTATAACAAAACTGTCATTTGTCACCGATGACAAGTTTTGTGAAATGGGGCCACAAAAACGTGCCTGTACTCAATAAAGTAGTACAATTTATCCTATGGGTTTGTCTGAACTTCTAAAAGAAGAAACCTACATGTAGGCTACTTGTAAAACTAAATAAGAGAAAATAGCTGCCAATCATTCCTATTTACCTACATGTAAGTTCCTAGGCTTCTGTTTGGAAATAATTAACAATCAAACCACCTGTATAGAAAGACTACCTGTCTAGAACGATCTTGTTTTTTGTTTCCCTTGAATATGGTTTCTTATTGTTCTAAAGGAACCTGTACATAAGGACCAGTTACATCTACATGTACAAAATGTACCTATATTTATAAAGACCACTTTTCTTATCTCCCTTGAGCGGTCTTTATATGTCAGGTTGTACTTTGTTGAAATTTACACGTACAAACATCATATAATTTTGTGCGTTTGAAGCACTTTTCTGCAAGAATAAAATAAAAATTTGACGATTCAACGATATACGTGATCATACCATACAATCAATGTACTTTGACATGGACTGATATGATTTGATATCTAGCATACCACAGTTCAACGTACTTTGTACCTGTACATTTTCAATTACGGTATCCATATCCATCTCTCTTATCTGTTGACAAGTGTGCAAAATAACAGATCACAAAAGGCCAGGTAATATTGATTACTTGTTTCTCATCCCCTCCTGCTACCCCCCCCCCCCCCCCACCGAAGTGCAGAGATCCATTGCAAGTAAAAATCACAGAGTTGCCAATGTATATTTCCATTGATTTCAACTGAATAGCTTTTGGTACTTTTAATGGTTTGAACTTTGAATGACTGTTTCTACCAGATTACTGATCACAGTTGCAGTTACTTGATGCATTTTACGCTGCAATTTACATTGCACGCTCCACCCTACTCGGGAGCATTCCATCCAGTTGCCTTTTATGGGCACACACATGCCAACCAAGCCAATTACAAACTTTCATCCTATTAGATACATGTAAAACCCACTTAACACCTGGGTGGAGAGGAGCAATGTGGACAAAATACCTTGCTAAAGGACATACCAGGGAGTTGGGATTGGATGGAGATATTGTCTCTAAGATTTTCCTGTGGGAAATATATTCAGGATTAACTTGGCTTGAAGGTACTATGTCCCATTTGCAGGCCAACAAAATGAAAAGGGTAAATTCCAACGGCATTTGAAAGATAA